GGATGTGGATTACGAACATTCGATGAAAACTCAGCATTAGGCATTTCTCGAAAACCTACAAATTGTTTGCATAAAATGTGTATATTTAATAAATAAATCCTAAAGAATATTAAGTTTTTAATTACTGATTGAAAACTCACTGAATGTACAAGTACCTAATATTATCAGTACAAAAAAGTATTATTTTTGTTATAGTTTTATGTTCTCATGCATAATTTCTCATACAAAAGCTAACATTAACAAGTCTAATGTTTCATCAGCTGAGTTCGGCATAAGAACAGTCAATTCTTGAGGTGTTATCTGTGATAAGATAGATAATAATGAATCAACATTCTCCAATGAGAGAAACTATTCTCCTTAGAGTAAGTACTGCTTTAGAGTGTCTGGTGTTTGCATACCACTTTTCATACTGCAAGATGTAGTTATGCCCAAAACATGGAAGACATTACAAACAAGACATGATGATTTTGATTAGTTCATTATAATTCTTCTTATAGTTTGTTCTAATCTCCACCCACTCAGCTTCTTAGACTTCTTCTAAAACGCTTTCTGCCACAAGACATATATTAGGTGAAAATCCCATACATCTTCCAGTTATCACTGATAAAGTGAATTGTTACAAAGATATAATGGTGACCATTCTTACGTGTCCATGAATTATAGTAACCTTGTTGAAGTGAAGCTTTGAAATACTTACAGCTAGAATGTTCTGATTTAGCACTAATATGTAATGAAGTATGTGGTAGACATATTACTGAATAAGTATCCTAACACTGAAATTTTAATTATGGTTGATGAGAATGAAACTTATTCATTGTGTTTAACCTCAATACCAGTGACCCCCACAATACAATTTACTATAAAGTTGACAAAAAACATTTTCTCATACAGTTTTGTTATATCTTTAATCAGTTTCTTCTCTTAAATGTGGTATAAAACACAATAAAACTTTGGAATTCAAATGTTCTGAAATTACTGATAACTAAAAACTAACCAACCGTGCACATTACTTACCCAAACTTTGGTCACGTATATTTCTCTGATCTTCAAAGTTATCTTCCTTAATTTCATTAACAAACAGTATTGGAGTGCGATAGTTCTCTTCTTGAACTGATCCTACATTTGAATAGAGTGAAAATTGGTAAAAGTTCACCAAACAATTCAACATTAATTACACAGAGTAACATTTTCACCTTCATAAAAGGTTAGAAAGATGTTTCATTACAGAATGGAAACAAGGCATATGTTTCATCAAGTAATTTAAATAAGATGCCATTATGAACATTTCGACTCAGATACTTTAACCGAGACAACTCAGAAGGCTTTGTAAAAACAACAGGCTATGTGGTAGACATGTTAATGAATAAGTAACATTATTTTGGTTCAAATATTTTTGAAAATGAAAGATCACAACAGATGTTGATTCAGGAATTTTTACCCATGACTCTAACATTCTTCAATAATACAACTTTGAGAGGATGGACAACAAGCTATTTTATCTTTTATGATGATTCCCCTCTTACAAACAAGATATGATTCCATAAAAAATAATGATAATAAAGTAGATTTTTATCCATTCACTTGAAGCAGTTACTAGAATAGATATTGATTCAAGTTACAAAATAATTCATTTTAATATAAGTACAAAAGTGAGATCATAAAAAGTATTTGACACACTTAAGAAATATATGTATAAAAAATATAAAATTTTGGTAATATAAACTACTGTAACTCAATTATACATACAACATACAAAAATGGTCAACCTTTACACTTAATGACAGTGCAAATTCGTTGTTTCGGGTTATAAATTATCATTTGAAAACAGTCTTTTTACCTTTCAAAACTAAGAAACATTGTACAGAATTAATAAGTTAATAAAAGATTTCATTGGACAAAAATCAGAAAATATTTACATTGCTTTCAGTTTTTAATTATGTTACAGACTGACAAAACTATTTAATCATTGGTACAATGGACCCTCCTCTAATTAGCTAGTCATTTTTTTCTCCTTTTCAAGTTCACACTATAGTTGTCCATATAAATGACTGTTTTCTATGTTGACATAGTTTTTGGTATGCTGTAACATAATGTTCAAGTATAGGGGACAATGAAGTGGCCTATATCACAAAGATCACAAAAACTCATTGGTTCTTTAATGCAGCCCAAAATTATAAGTTTACATTATTAACATTTTTACATTTTAAACATATAGTAAGGAACTATATCATACAAAAGTTAAATGAAAATTAAACAATATCTTATCTCGCACATGAACATAATTATAAGATTAAATATTTTGTCATTTTAAAGAAAAAATAACTTAAAAATTGAATAACTACATCTCTTATGATGAGATAAAAAAATCAAAAACGCTTGTCACATTTTTAACAATGAAATGATATAGGAATGGCACAATGCATTTAATTAAAATGTCAAACTTAGTACTACAGTCACCTTGAGCAATTTAAATGTTTTTCTTGTTATTTATAACATCAAAATTGAAGCAAGTTTATTTCTACTAAAAAAATGATGAAACAAAATAAACTTAAAAATAGTAACAGTGTTACATTGTTCAGAAATTCCTAATTCCATAAGGTAAATCAAAAACACATCAAAACAATTTTATATGCATATTCATTTTACATCTTATTACTAAATTAAACAAAATTACTTCAAATACTTACTCTCGGGACCATGGTTAAAGTTTCGATCAAAATTATCTCTCTCAATAGGTTGCCTGGGAAGTAACCTGTCTCGTTTGATATCCTCTAATGGTAAATGTTCAGACAGTTTTAAAGTTTCCCGTGTAATTCCACCTAAATTGATAAAACGTGTATTGCTTTTATTATGTACAATAAAGTTAGTGCTTATAAAACATGCATGATACTGGATCAGATTTTCTTCAATATTTTGTAACATTACTGGTAAGTTAATTATCAACTTTATCATCAGTCTGCACCTATAAGTAAATCAAACATTTGAATAAGAATTTATTCCCAAAAATTGTTATTATTATCTTTTAATTAAGATTGAAGAGTAGAAAAATGTTTTAAGATATTTGAACTAAAACTGTGATTAAACTACTGGATATCTACAAATTTTATTTTTGATACACTACTTATAACTACTAACAGAAAGTGAATATAAATGTTAGGCTTTCATTTCCCATTCATGTATTCAAATTCTACATGTGTTGTTTATGTTTAGCATTGTTCTGATAGAAATAAAACAAGACAGCTGTGTTCATATCAAGATGGCTAGGATAGTAAACTCTAAACAATGTTCTGTAGTATAAATGAAGTTGTAAAGATGGTAGTAGTTACTGCAGATCAATTTTGCAAAGAGATGTTTTACAGGAAATAAATTTATGACCTATCGTTGGTATAGATTAAACCGAAGAGTAAACTACCATTTCTAACTTTAATGATGAATTAGACTTAGTAATAATACACAAACATTGATAAACAAATCCTTGTAGGTGGTCTTATTTTAACATTCTGAAAACTGTCATTAACACACTACTTTTCGTTAAAACAATGAAAAAAGGTTCCGTTTTAAAATATTGGACTTTGACTGCCATCTAATATTGGTTAAGTTCTCTTGTAATTTTAATAGCTGTTGCCAATATATAATATTCTATGCAAATTACTTTAAGATTCTTTTTTTTTTAAATATATATATTTAGCTTAAAATTAAACTAAAATTCCATGTTGGTAACCTTGTTGTGAATTTGTTTTAAAAGAAGACAGGAATGGAATCACAAATTTGGCTATGTGATTCTACAATAATAACATGTATCTAATCTTTCTTTCAGGCATCTTAGCAAAACTGAGGAGCATGTCCTTGTTCTAAAGACGTAACTTTGTTTCAACAATTCATCAAATACTTACACTTGATTTAACTGCTTCATTTGACTGAAGCTGAAGAACTAAGATTCTTTTCTTGTACTACTTTAACACTCAACAACAAAATATTATTTGCGGAGGGCAAGTCTTTAAAATAAGATCCCAGTTTCACCATCTTATTACATGACAAAAGTGGCCAAACTGTGTTTTATTAATCCTATGTGTATGGGTTGGGGGTCAAAGTGCACATGACACATCCTTTTACAGTTACAATTGAAATTCACTTACACAGCTTTCTTATCAATGTACGCATCAAAACATAATTTATTATTCGGATGTTAATATTATGTAAGTTTTAATATCTTATTTTCAAAATGAAATATTAGATAAATTCTTAATCTTCATTTTTCTGTATCATGCTACACCTCCTCACTCTAACTTCCTTATTTTAAGTTTTTTCTACCGATATTGATCTTCTAAGTCTCCCATAAGCTACACATTTGTACCATAGATATTCTCAGGGTAAAATATAAATTTCTAGACTCTAAGCTTTTTGCTTTATGAGATATATCCAATAGAGTAAAACCCACATGCCACACCCCTCCTACCACATCCTGTCATTAATTCTCTCTGACATTCACTATTGGATTATTTATAACCAACAGAAAGAGATGATTTTAATTGATTGAATTTCTACAATGCTAGAATTGTTCAACCAAAACCCAGTTATAAATTAGATAGGATGCCAGTTAAATTATAGAAGTTTTATGACATTCTATTTTTTTTATAGTGTCAATACTTTATATTCTATATTGCATACTTGAATTAAAAAAAAAATACACACTACCAACAATAGCCTAAGATTCATTCATACATTGATGACTGAGTGCAAGAGACAATATGTAAATACCAAATTTTTTGTTCATTATGTATATTTTATACATATTGTTATAACGGTAACTAAAATGTAAAAAATTAGAAACTTATTGGGTTAGATAAGAGAACTTAAATGAAAAAAACAACAAAAAACACCTAAATAAAACATTTCTCAATGAGGAGTGTACTGAGTTATTCATGCACAATGTAATTCAATACTTTGTTCATCATAACTTGCACTATGCTTTCAATGGGTGACTTATTGCTTTGTTACACTAGGTTAGCAATTAGACATGTGTCAGAGAGCAAGAAAATGACAAAATTAAATGAAAGTAGTTGTGAAATGGTTAGAGGACTGTAGATCTTAGGATACTTGTAATTGGCTCTTAAAATTTGCAGGCCTTCTATAAAAAAATGTACTTTGTTTATTTCATATTTTTAAACTTTCGTTAAAGTTAATTTTACTACAGTTAGTGTTAGGGTAAAGAAAATAATATAAAATATAAAGTTTTACTAAAAAACTTGATACTCACTTATGAGGTTTTAGAGGTTATGTAAATAAAATTAAAAATTATACAATGAAAAAAGCATTTCTATTCTTAACATGAAAATTACTTTGCACTCAGACCGGTTACAGTCTCAATCAGACTGGCCCAGTAAATTCACAGAGAAGTCTTCAGAAAAAATACTTTATTACAAGTTTTGATTTTTGTTTGTGTACAACATACTTGTAACATTTACTAAAAGTGTACCAAATTTGTGACAATGCACATAGGTTAATTTGGATTTATAGTAAACAAAGCTTCAACAGGACCCTAAAGATAATCCTGAGAGGAAAACCATAAGACTTCTGAATAAATTTAAGCCATGCAACTTCAACCTCCAATCAGGTAGTGGAAGCAGACCTAAAAAATTGCATGACCTACCCAAGGTACATAAACCAGATGCTCCACTTAGCCCAATTGTCAGTGTAGAACATTCATCTTATCACCAACTAGCCTATTACCTTGATCATGTAGTAATTCTTCTCAGAAAGACAAGTAGTTTTCAAATAATAAACTCCACAACCTTTGTATCAGACACACCTTAAAGACATATCTATCCAATTAGAAGATATTTTTGTCAGTTTTAATGTTATAAACATGTTTTGTAATACATCAGTTCCTGATTTTCTTGCAGTCATCAGATAAAATTTTGAAACAAACCCTTGCTTAAACCTGTGAATAAGCCTAACAACTGATTCCATTATGGAAATAATCTCCCACTGCTTTAGTATCAGTGTTTGGAATAAGTGGTTTTCAGTTGACCTAAAGAACCAAAATTATTTCTGAACTAGTCAAATGCACTACTATGTTGTCCATGGGACAACCGTAACATGACCCAATATCATGGCAATCTAGGCATCTAACTCATATTAGCATGTTCAGAGAACTATATAAATTGCAAGTAGTATATCTATGCACACTGTATTCTAATTTTCACAAAGTGAGCATCTGTGGCTAAGTATGATGAAGAGATAGAGGTCATGTTCTGCTCATGAAATTCCTCAATAAAGTCATGATTTTCTATTAACTAATGAGCTTTCTAGTGTGATATTTGATTTAAGAGGAAATAATACCAAGTTTGTAATTTTTATTAATCAACTAATTCATTCATTCAATTGTGGACAACTATAGTTTATTGCCAACAACCATAACTGGCCCAAAAGTTGTCTGCTGGACAACCCGGTCTGTAAGTTTTATTACAAGTACCATTTATTTAACTTAAAAACTTTTTTTTAACAGAGCAGTGCCATAAACATGGTTTCACCAATCACCAGTGACCACTTTATATCTGAATTTGAACCAACAGCTATACAATTAACAAAATTGAAGCCATAGTCCTGGAAACTATGACACCGATGATTATTTTCTTTATCACCCCAACTCCTACTATAAAAATAACCAGTTTACTGTCCAGATTGAATTAGACAGTCAGCTGCTACTTTTAAATGTCCTAATACATCACCATACCCACATAGGTTTATAAAAAAAACAACCCCAAGCTTCAGTACATAAATTCCAGATCCAGTCATCTACACTCAATAAAACATTACATTATTAAAAATTTATAAACACGAGGAGAAAAAAAATCTATGGTCCTAAAAGTTTAAAATAAGAAATCTGTTTCATCAACAAGATATTTCAAGCCAACAGTTACCCTAAACAGTTCATTAAAATATCAGACCTTCCAACAGACCTCCTTGGAATAACATTTAACCACCATCACCCTTCTTTAATACTGTACCTAACCTAAATGACAATTTGTAAGAATTTCAAAATCACAGTTTGATTGAAACCTGGCAAAAGGTTCTGAAATATCCTGACAAAAGCTAAACAACCTACTAACTCAAAGAACAAAAACATGAAGTTTACAGTATCTCCTGCAATTGTGATGAACTATACATTGAAAAAAAAAACAGTACAAACTGTCAATGTGAGACTATAAGAACATGTTAATGCAACAAGTTCCTACACCCAGAAGTCTCCCATAGCTGAACACTTACAATACAGGACAATCATTTTAGATAATGTACAACAGCAGATACTTAGAAAAAATGTAAAGAAGCCTTCAGAGTAGAGATGAATAAATCAACCAATATTAATGCTTAGAAATTAGCAACATCTTGAATCAAATTCTACAGAAACGTTATAAAAAAAAACGTCTTTGAGCAAGAAGTGTGTTATACATAAAATCTATATTACATCTAAAAACATTGTATTTTGTCTATGCCTTGAAGATGAAAATGCATGATTATTAGTTTACAATGTTTTCTATTATCACCATCAAAATATATTTTCTTGCAATTAGTTGATGTTAGTATTGCAGAAAGAAAGTTTTGATGATCACACCTCTACTGATTCCAGGTATTTCTTGAATAAGACTGGGAGGTCTACTAGATGGGAAGCTGCTGACTGAGGGTGCAGTTGACGAATTATCAGCCAACATATAAACAGCTGATCCATTTGCTAGACTGCAGTAATATTCACCTGTGAAAAAAGTGCTCTATCTTATACAAACATATATATATATAAATAAAAGTACTATAATTAGTTTTGACTTAACTTATCAAAGTGAGCACAGAAGTAGTTATTGAATAAATAACTTCAAATGCTACTTAGAACACAAAAAATCAGCATTTTATTATATGAATGTTAAATATTATCTGGCATACAGAATATTTTTATGTTTTTGAAAGTACACACCATTAAATAATGGAAATAAGAATAAATTTATTATCTTTAAGGTTATCATTACAAATTTGAACAACATATGTAGAGGCTAAGTATGAAAATGATAAACATGGCAAAATTAAAGATCATACATCAAATAAAGCAATAAAAGTCACATTTCTATTTTGCAAATAACTTTTGAAACATGACTGACTTATTACGAATAAAGATTTATTTATTTATTTGCTTTCTAGTGATAGATTCCAAGCTAAATACTGATTTTGCTAGCTCTAACAATGGCTGTCAGCTACAGTCTCTTGCCTTTATGCCATGCACTTATTACAACCAATGTACACACTATGACATTTTCTTTATTATGCTAAATTGTAATGAACATGCTGAAAATTGTTCTGGGAAAGATTGGAACTATATATTAAGCTGCATAAACTGCCATGTCAAACCTAGTCAGCAATGTAGACAGTGCATGGAAATTTCAATATACCTTAAACAAAACTTTTTTCTTACAAAATTAAAAAAGAATTAAAGTGGCATATTATTATATATTTTTTCTTCGTGTTTTTGCATTTGACTGTTTTTTACTTTTCTTGTTATTTTCATTCAGATGCTGTTGCCTCATTTAAATAAGTTTTAATTACCTACACCAAAAGTGGCTAAAGTTATTCCACTCAAAATGCAGTACAGTAGTTTTAAGATGTAGCTCCAACAAATAGAATGGTATACTAAAACCAGGAACAGCACAGAATGTATTGTTGTCATACAATTAACAATACCAACCCATGAGATAATTAGATATATTTACAAGTTTTAATATCACACATCAATCATTAAACAACATACACACATAATTAGTTGCATTCTCAAAAGCATGTAACAGGCTTCCCAGAATAGCTTATGAAATTTTTAGAAAAGGTTCTAATCATCCCTTTTTATATATAGGCTTCTAGTAAACTCAGCAACTGAGGACAACTGAGTTTAAATATGAGTATGTTAGATTCCAATGTAATAAAAAGTTTTCCTTTTTCAACTGTCAATGTAGAGTAGATCCCCATTTTAACACATCCTGCTATATTGTGAATCCATGGTTTTTTACAGCTATTATTTTTTGTTGTCTTCACAACTTCTTATGTGTGTATATATAATATATATATGCATTTTTTTTCATCCAAAAAGAAAAAAACACATGCTAAGGAACATTATGTCTTTTATTATTATTAACAAAGAAGTTTTATCCCTTTCATAAAACAAACTAATTTATGTCACAAGACTCTAAGCTGACATCGCAGGCATAAAAGATTATTTAGGTGAGGAATGCTATTGGTTCCTGGTAAGAATATGTATCTCGTAAGGTACAGAACTATGAGTACCTAAATATAAAGGTTGAATACAAGTAAGTGGTTTAATTCATATTACACATTTATCATGACTTTTGTCATTAAAAATGTAACAGAAATATCTGAGAGAATTTTGATTATCATGGAATCTACATCTCACAAAGGAAAAGACAAGGAAAAGCTATGCACTACATTGTACACCCTAGAAGAAACTTCTGGTCTTGAATGCAAGAAGTTCAGAGTTATCATTGATTCAGCCTTGTATCAATGGTATGTACAGGCCTGATCAGAAAGACTGCAAATCTCTTATACCATCCTCAAAGGGCAAATTGAAAAATTTGATCATAATATCACTAGGCCCTACTCCCAATTCACAGCCAGTAATGGCTGGTTGGATCAATTAAAAAAACTCTGTTCTATACATCAAGTGAAATTTGCTCAGCAGGTTGTAAAACACCAACTCATACCCAGAAACACTGAAATAATTGTTAGGGAAGGATGGCCCAGAATAAGTTTACAATTGCAATGAAACCGGGATTTGTTTAAAGATGCTACCACGTTGTACTCTTGCCAAAAACATGATGCCCACAAACATGAGGGATTCAAGTTGATGAAGAACAGATTCACACTTATAATTCTGTACCAATAAAATGGGCTACCACAAGGTTAAGCCGCTGATGATAGACAAATCAAAATCTCCATATTACTTTCATCACATGAATTTGCAATCACTCCCCTTCAGTTATTCCAACAGCAAAAATGCCTGGATGACGGCTGCCGTCTTTAAGGAATGTTAAAATTTTAAAAACATTTTCTGATTTTCGTGTTTTAATTGGCATTTTATGTATTGCATCTACAATATTGATTATCTTCATTAATGTTTTGCTGGTTTAGGAATAAAAGTAATATGAAGAGTTTGAATTTTGTTTAGAGCAATAATCAGTTTTTTTATAGTCTAGTGTGTAGTGTGAAGCAGGGAGAATACTGGGTGGATTGGGTGATGACAAAAAAAAAGGTGGGGAAGGTAGAAAGTTTCAATATAACGCTGCCATACATTTAATGCAAAAGCATTTTATGGACCTCAATTATTATGTTATGGTAAGGTCTCACTGCATTTGTGTTAAAATAAAAGTACTAACAAGTACTTGGTAACCTTTGTTCCTAACTGTGTGGTTTTAACACCTGCCACATGAACCAGCCCAGCATATGACATTATGAAATCTATATGTACTTTACTGTGGTGGTACCATACTGGGCATTATACCATCCTTCTTATACTTACTCTTCGTTGCAGCAATGGCATTTTTTATGTGGGAATCACTAGGGAAATCATCTTGTAATGCATCATGCACCTGCTTCGACTTCAACACTGCATCTTTGGGCTTTACTGTGTCATTAGTTTCAAAAAATATTGAAACTAATGATTTATTATATACATGATTCCAATCCCCCCTTTTGAAAATAATGATACTATTGTGCCCATTTATTTATATTTCACTGTAAGTGCAGTAATTAACTGACAAATCTCCAATTCAGCTGGTATGTCAAATTGATTAGTTTATTTGAATGATCAGAGATTGTTCATAGACTCTTATAAGGCTATTCCAAGTAGATGCATTTATTCTGTGCTTTTTGTGAATTTAGTTGATCATGTCTATAGTGTTTATTGACTGTTGTGCAATATTAAAACTTTTTGTAAACATATTCATTCATCAGTTACCATGAATTAGGATTTTTAATTGTGTGATACTAATACACTTACTGCTGTTCTGGGTTTTAGTATGCTCATGTACATAGGTGAATAACAAAGAAGGCAGAAGGAGCACGTGCCCTACCCACCACTTTTTTCCAATTAGTATACATACATTGCTAATAATAGCTATGTTAGATTTACTTAACTTTTTTTGTCCCCTACTTTCTTACAAAGTTAGGCACTCATACTCCTGTACATTAAACCTTTCTAGTGTGAGGTTCTGAGTAAGTACCATCAGTGCTGTCTGCTATTCTTTCATCTGTTACAAAATGCTGGTCAAAAGTTTCCTCATTTCTGATGCTGTCAAATTCAGAAACTAATACTTGAAATGTGTTAACAAATATTGGAGAAATATTCTTGGGTCACTATGGGCCAGTAAAAATCTATAAAGTGGATGTAAAAGACTAAGTAGTATATTGGAAGCATTATATGAATGTCCGGGGTTATTTAATATGCAATGATTAAAGGTAACAATCCAATAAATGTCAAGAATAACGATTCTGCTTTAGTTTTAAAAATCAGTAAGATGAAGGTTTAGTTCAACCAATACAAAGGATTTGTATATTTACCAATATATACTAGCTTATGTTTTCCATCCTTAACTAGTAACACATTCCATTCATATTCTAAGTCTTCATTGTCACAATCAAAACAAAAGGCCTGGAACACAATTTTCTCGTCTACTGAAACTTCTTTTTTCTGGCACTGATTACACATAACACCAACACTGAAGGTAGAAAACCAAAACAAAATATTAGAATAATCATAAAATAAATTTACATCAATCATTGACATAATAATTGTGATATTTTATTACTGAAATTCTAAAATCAAAGTTTGGAACTCTGCCTCAGGGGGTCAAAATCTAGCATTTCTTGTTTCTTATTAAAACAGATTAAGAATTACACATGTAAAGTGGCTTGCTTAGCAGTTTTATTTTTAGACACACACACACACATATTCTTTTTCAGTTTTCCATTAAATGGTATTTTATTCTAGACTGTAGTGTAGCAGAGCATCCTTAACATAGCCGTTCCTCTGTAGAACTGGTATTTTATTCTAGACTGTAGTGTAGCAGAGCATCCTTAACATAGCCGTTCCTCTGTAGAACTGGTATTTTATTCTAGACTGTAGTGTAGCAGAGCATCCTTAACATAGCCGTTCCTCTGTAGAACTGGTATTTTATTCTAGACTGTAGTGTAGCAGAGCATCCTTAACATAGCCGTTCCTCTGTAGAACCATGTTTAGCAATGGATAGATTATAAAGTGCTGTTGCTATAGTGGAATCAAGCTGCTACCAATGAGTGGTACACAATAATTACTAGAGTGCTTTGTTCTTTTTTTTTAATATTGAACTTCAATCCATAGCCAAACCTAAAGACCCAAAAAATACCTATACTTTATTATCATTATTTCACAAGCATGTACATAAATACCTGATATTTTGTATAATTGCAATATTCATTACATAATACAAGATAAAAAAGAGTATTTTCATGAAAAAAAAATTTTTAATTCAACATGCGGATTAAGGGTTTTTATGGGTTTAAGTACGACTGCAAAATACAACACAAAATAAACTAATATTTCAATTACATCTTTATTAGGGATTAGACAGATATCTAAACAGATATTGCACTCTCACATGAAACCCAATCTGGATGGATTTCAATTTTGTAATGAACCTGATAATTAGGTAAAAATTCCATCAATGTATTGTCTACAATATTACACACGTGAGTCACACATAATAGGTATTGCATTATCTAGCCCACTAGCGCTTTCTACTAGCTTCTAAACAAAGCAGCATTTGCCCTGGCTTTATATCACTGATAATTGTACTAGTCATAATACAGATAGTCATTATGTAGATTAAGAAAACATCACTTCCATCTGTAGTGTTGCTATGATGCCAAGTGCGCCATTTTCTTAAATGGCCTGAAATGGCTGGTCACTTGCAATCTCCAAGTACTTCCTTCTTAAATTTTCAATAAATAGTGATGAACTGACTAGTTTAAAATTATACTGTAATAAAGTGGTAGATTGTGCCTGTGGTACATTTTCAATACATAAAACCACATCTTCTATCCAATCTTAACATATTTGAATGTAAATGAGTATGAGGAGATTGATATCTAAAACCTGACCAAACCTATTATTTATTCTATCCCTAACCTTTATTAGTAGTTGCTAAATATACTGTAACTGTTCTGGTACAACTGTAATATAAAACAAAAAAAACTGTATCTTTAGTTACAGATTTTCAGAATGACACGTTATGTGACACATGGGTTAAATAACCAGATGAGAAATCCTTATGTTCAGGCATAACCATCCCTGATTTAGAGCTGTTGACAGAGGTAGGGTAACTAGTCAGCAATATCTGCGAATTTATCTGGCTACTCTTAATCCCATGCACTCAGTTAGGTCAAAGTGCACGTGATCTTTTCCAGAATTATATTCAAAATTTAATTAAACTTTATCATCAATGTATATCAATAAAGTTGGTATTATAATGTAGCTTATAATTAAAGTTATTAAACTTTTTATATTATTTAAGTTTTAATTTCTTAATTTTAAAAGAAATGTTTAAACAAGTTTCAATCTTTACTACTGTGTGTCATAGGATGCATTTGTCCTCTGGATTCTCAATTACAGAATTCTTTTCCATCTTATTAAGAGTTTCTGAGTGCACATCAATTAGTAACACAAACTATAGATATTTACAAACCAGAATATAAAATCTGATCCTCTACCTTCTTGATTTGCTGAGATATCAACATATCTGTCAAGGCCTCCAGTGAAGAACCTCCCATCTTATCATACCATTCAAAGCAGTTATTTAAACCATGTGGTCTTACATGATGAACATGTTTATATCTAAGAGAAATAGCCTTTTTTTTTCTACATTAGTCTTATTACAGTTATTTACTTTTGGCAGGCACAATAGACAGTTGGCCTTAGGTTTCATTATCTATGATCATTATTGTTCAGCTCCGAGCAGCTAAAAAAAAATTTTTACCCGTTTATAATTAAGTTAGAAAGCCAGTTAAATCAAAGTGTTTTGTGTTAAAAAGTATATTTCAAAGCCAAGCGAATTTTTACTTAAACAACTAACTTAGCAAAAAAAAATTAATGTGCCACAGTACTAATAGCAAAAGAGTCCAGAGATATGTATTCAATTCTTTGACTTTTTTCTGTAAATTTTTTATTTATTATTATTATATATATTTTAACAAAAGAAAATCAATGTAAACTTTCTTAGGTCAGGTAACAAGCTTAGATAAAATTTTGAATTTCACAAATTAACTTGATTGAAGCTCAAACTTGCAAGTACCAGAACTCTTATTGCTTGTTTATGCTAAGCTCTACTGGAAATATTCCACTGTAATTTATTGCTTTTCATGCAGAGAAAGGCTCTAAAAGGACAATAATAAAGGAATAAAATGAAAAGAAAGCAGATGTAAAATGATAAAAAGCTGTTAGCATAAATAACTATAATTGTCTGTTAAAATATGTGTAGTCATTCTAGAAAATAAAAAGGTATTATTAATTTTACTTCAGAATTTTCAACTTTTAATTTCACTGTACAGTGATGATTTTGTTACAGTTAGTGTTAGGATAAAGAAAATAATATATACAAAACTTGTGATATTCATTTACGAGCTTCTTTTATGGTTATGCAAGTGAAGTATGAAAAGAATGATTTATATTCTTAGCATAAAAATCACCTTGCACAAAGATTGTCTCACAGTGATGTAAGTGATTACATAAACAGAAATATTAACAGAGGTTCAAAATAACAAGAATATAACCTTATTTTTGCATCTTCGGATAGTGAGATAACTTGTGAAGATTGGCTTTCATACTGTCTGGTGTTTATATCCAGCTCAATGAAAACATCATTCACACGAGATCGTAAGCTTGATGTTGGAAACGATAAAACACTGGAACTGTTGGTTCTTGTAAAATCAGGTTCATCATCTTTAAAACACACTGTTTGTTGAGGGTTCAAGGCTGTACAAGTCCACTTGTAGCTATATTAATTAAAAAAACTAACTACTAAAAAAGAAAGATATTTCTAGAGGAAATACAATTGCTTTATTTCAAGAATGTACACATGGCACCAGATCAAATTTGAGTTATCAAATTTTAACTTTGTAAAGTTCTTTTTATCTATGTTAAAAAATTCAGACTTAAAACTTTAATGAATGTTTATAAAACTCAAATGCTTCAAAAATTGAGAATGCATTTTAAAAATGTTATTTAAAAGTCAAGAGTTTTTAATAAAAATGATTTTTGATGTAATGTTCCTTGGATTTGGCTTAACAACATTTGTTTGTTCAATAACTTATAAATACTTCTAATAAACAGCGATTCAAAAAATTATATCTTATGTAATAACACAAAATGATTTAAATGGAGTTTGAAACGTATTCAAATTAAAGAACAACTTATATAAAAGTAACATTATAAAACCATACATTGAACAGAAATTACTGGCATACCTTATATTCTTTTTATCTTCCAATACATTATTCATGGAACTGTCGATATTCACTACATCATTATGTTTATTAACTTGACGCCATATTCCACCTCTTAACAGTACAACTGGTGGTCCACTAATTATACTAACTGATGTTTGTGCTTTAGAATAAAGTATTGTACCATTTACTGACACCTGTTGGTGAATGAAAAGAAATCATTGATAAATACCAGTGTATAAACAAAACACTTTGGTGATATTGTGAACATTTTTACCAGATTGTAAATTTGCAAATATTATTGTAGAAATATATTCAATATATTACACTGTGGTAGTTTGAATTGTTACAAAGTTTCTTACTAGCAAAGCTAGAGGATTATCTCTTTAGCTCAGTTCAGAACAGGCTCAGAGGTCAATCCTGCACACAGAAATAATTTATCACACCCTTATTAAAATGAGCTGATGGGTTCTCGTAATTTAGAGTGTTTTATAAGATCAATCAAACAATTTATTTTCAAGAACAATCTTCCAATGTTTGTTTGGATTGACAGACTTCAGAACAATTGAGTAATCCAATAAACCACTAAATTAAAGAAATGTGTGTCATTCTTATGACTCAACTTGATATAATTTTCATTCACAGTTAATTATTTCTTGTTAATCTTGCCCTCAAAAAGTGTAAAAATATGAAACTTACTTTTAATGTTACAGTATATTCTCCAATTGGCAAAGTTCCTGGTAAAAGATACAGAGTTCTCTCATGAAGACGCTGAGTTTTACTAATACCATATGGAAAACTGCTGTTTCCTCTAATCTGAAGTATGGACCAATCATACAAAATAGAAGTATGGATTTGACAAAACACATCAATTTCTATTTCCACAATGATGTCTTCGGTCAACAGAAACTGGAAAAGTTTTATCACATTTTACTAACAATCTCTTGGGCACCTAGCCTTTCACGCATTAATTTCTTTTTTACAACATCATAATTAATCACATTGTTGAACTAAAATTTTCCACTCTAGACAACAAGGTATGTAACAGATTATAAAACAAGAGAAGACAGAGAAGACAATAGATTGACAAATAAAATTGAACTTAATTTAAAAAGCCAAATGTGTGGTGACTGCATTTATAGAAATATCTCAACACTACGATAATTTAATACATATGACTATATTTTACTCTAAATTGAATCCCTATGAAAGGTACTTTAAAAAGTACAATTTGTTTGTTGGTGCCAAAATTTGAGCAACTGCATAGATAATGACAGTTACAAAAACAGTACAAAAAAGTTGAATAATTCCAGAATCCATGAGAATTTATTAGAGATAACTTGGGAAATCAGAATAAGATAATAAGTATTTAGTGACAGAAATTGAATACTTCCAAAAGACAATACATTACTGTCCTTTATCTGCTATGAAAATTATAGTTAGAGGTAACTGTATTTTTTATTTCTCTCTAAAAGGAATGGTTGAAATGTTTAAAATTATATTCACCTGACTCTGGTCCACAATTTGACGGAGTGTAATTTCACATTCATCTTTCAGAACGAAAATGTTTTCTGAAGTGTTTTCTTGGCTGATGCTATTCCATGCTTTCAACTTCACCTGGTATTCACCAACACTGTTATGTGAAAAGAAATCTATAATATTTCTGAAAGACATGGATACCTTGCGCTGTGAGAACACAGCAAACAAGTAAAAAGGAATGGCCTTAATGAAGAAGTAATTAGTAACACAGAATATAAGAACTTTTAATTTTACTGAATGCTGTATCCCATAAATTGAAACAACCATCTTATAATTTTGTGTTGCCTTTCACTTTGCATATAAAGGTACCGAATGATATTTTGCCCATCAAAAATATTATTTATGTATCAAAATAAATTACACAAAAGTAATAAAACAACTTAAAAAATAAAAGGTATAAATAATGATAGAACAAACCCACTGGTATCTGTGCTCGTAGCAAAGTTAGGCTTATTATCATAGACATCCAACAGTTCTGACTTAATATTATCAAAAAATAACACATATCAACATCACTCTTCATTTTTTACATGTATATTGGTTTCATGATATACATGTGAAAATAATTTTATGTGAAAGTTAATTTACACTGTAATACAAAGTTGCAAGACAAGACTATTTGTTTCAAGAAAATAAAAACAAGCTTACCTTGCATACGTATGGTTTACAGATGTGCTACGTGTTGTGACAGCTGCAGTTTCATCCCCAAATGACCATTCAAATGTCAAATCAGAACCAAACCAAAATAAAGCTAAAAATTCTATCTCTTGACCAACAAGTATTTTATTGCTTGATTTGATTCTTAGGTTCTGAACTTTATTCAACACATGGATCTTTATAGTTGATGATGAGGCATTGCTTATGTGGTTTTTAGCTAATACGGTCACTGCATAGCTGAAAGGAGTTACAAAAAAAACTTAGTATTTTATTTTCTTAGATAGAAAAAAACAAATAATGACGATGTTCAGAATAAACCAAGGCACCGTCGTAAAACACAGTTTATATGATGTCTTAAATCTATGCAACTTCTTCCTTTTTTGTTCTTTCTTAAGTATCTACCACCTGCCACGTTCTTTATATTGGATTTATAGGACAGGCACCAATATTTATTCTAATTCATTTCTTAATTTTTTTATACTTTGTAAAACAAATGCCTTATCTTCAGACATCATAGAGGAAAACAAATCACATTAAAACTTTTTGCTCTCTTATTTTGAAGCATCCTTCCAAAGTAAGCTGTTTTTGAGGAAAACGGGTAAGAAATGAAGTGTTAGGATATGTGACAAAATAATTGATGAGGTATAACATATCCTAAAATCAGTGTAGCAAAAGCAGTGGTGTGAAATAAAAGATAAACCAAACATTTTAACTTTATTTCTTTCTCTCTGGGAATTAAATCTTCCTTCTCAGTAAACAAAAACAGATAACCAGAAAATAATCCAAACTCTTCTGCAACTACAGAAAAAGTTTTTTGGTTGAATGCTCTAATTTAATAGACAACTGCATGTTCATCATGTACTTTATCATAAAAAACTAAACTTACCATAGACAAATACTAAGTTAAATTCATGAGTAATACTTCTTCAATAGACAGCATTACCACACAAGTACACAACAATGTAATTGAAATTTATTACAACTAAAAAAAATCACTATTAGAATGAATTAAAAAACTAAGAAAGATGACTTAAGAACTGAAAGGTATTATTCCTCTTTTAACCTATATGCACAATAGATATATGTAAGCATGTTTCTTCATAAGATGTAATATCATACTTCATATTAAATCTCAATTTCCTGAAATGAAAAATACTTTAGACATAAATATAATTGAAATATCATTCAATACTTTTTTTGTGATAAAAATATTGGTATGAATACAATAAAATAAAAAACAGTTCACATATATTGTTAAATACTACATCATCTTGAAAGTTCCAATGGCTACTAGGAGTACAGTCAAAAGATAAATGTTTGACTTAAATGGAAGTTGTTTAATTTTTTTTCTAATGAAGTAAAATGCTGATGGCTAAGAAGTGCTTTATTCTATTTTGGTTTTGACAATTTTCCTGTGTTTATTATAATCTATCATCCACATAATCATCATGAAGTAGATAAATATATATATATATATATTCAAATTCCCTACATTGTTCTATAAATCTGGTACTGGAAGCTCCCATTTTTTTTACAATGACCAAAATATATTTCTAAGATTCCACTAAGTCTTTAAAAAAAATGTGAAATGTCAAGAACAGATTTATTAGTCTTATGCATGTGGATGCTTTGGAAAGACTAGGATATACAAAATGTCATCAGATCATCAGGGGCCCTTAAGAAAAATGTGCCCCTCTCCCACCAAATAGTTTTTGGAATGATGCGATGTACATGCATAATGTTAGTATTAATGTTCCATACTGATTTGATACATTCTGTACACCTTTGTTTCCCACATTCAAGGGTCCCAGGGAAGTATCCCTAGCCTTCCTGCCCTCTCAGTGAGCCTACACATCATGAAAACTTGACAGTTGTTGGCAGATTTTATGGAGTGATTGAAAGATGTTTCAATCAGTTTTATGGGCTTTAAACATGTAAATGAATGAGCATGACAGTGTTGTACCAAACAGAAAGACTAAAGTGGGCTTATTATAAGGCTATAGGAGCTCCAACTTGTACACTGGGTGTAGGATAGGTCTGTGAAGTGTCTGCACACCTAAGTTCACACTGATATCTTGAACGTACAAGATTGTGATGAAGTATTTTGGTTAGCAGACTAACGTGTTGTTTCAGCAGGATAACAAAATTAATTATCCTGCTAAAAAAAGGGTGCATAACCCATATCAAGTTTCAAAGCAACAATATCAATATCTTGGACTCTTCAAATGTTAATTCTATATAACATCTATGAGATTATCTGAAAAGTTAACTATAAAGGTTAAGACAAACCACAGATTTCCAGTAACCATCAATTGGCCAATCATTTGAAACCACCATGAAAAATTAAACCAAATGCTTGTTGAAGCCTTAAACATAACATGCCTTTCACAATATCAGAAGTTATGGTGTTAACCATAGTAATCAGTAAGACACTCCTCTCTCTATGACAACATGTCTAGTACAGTAATGCACTCCTACCGCATTTGATTTATTGAATAAAACTTTTTGTACAAACAATTTATTACTGATACTGAAATAAAAGCTTACTGAAATGAGGTGAGACTCACCTGCCAACATTCTCATATGTGTGGTTAAACACTGATGTTTCTGTTCTTAAACTTAAATCAGAATCTCCAAAATGCCACAGAAAATGAGTATATTTATTATTAGGTACTACTGTGGCTTTCAGCATCACTTTCTCTTTTGCAGGAATGTTTACTTCTCCTTCACAAACTAATGCACCCTTCACATCTCTAACACAAAGCTCCACATCTGTAGGAAGAAATGAACGATTATTATCAATACCACTACAAATGCTAATTCCCCCCCAAAATCAGTAGTGGACATTTTTATCAACACTACAATAAAACTAAAACCTAGACTAGTGCACATGACAGGACCTTGTACAGAGTGCCATTCAAAATGGTATCATTGAATTTGAAGTAACACCTTTTATTTTACCCTACCTCACTGATTTTCCAACATTTCATGTTCAGACTAGAGAAAATACCAGATACAGTATACAAGGATACTGGGAAAAAAAACTTTAGATATGCATTTGAGAGGCTGAAGAGGTTATGCAAAGGAATCTGCAAATTATAGATGGACAAAAGTATATTTATTCTTCACATGAATATCACCTTGCACTCAGACTAAATTCATCATTTCACAGAAGTAGCTTTAGTACAAAAGCTTTAGTAAAAACCTGATTTTTTTTACTAAAAGTTTGTCATATTTTGTGATGAGGAATTTTGTCAATTTGGAATTATTGTAAGAATTACTTTTACAATATGAGGTAGGTCTATTGGAACAACTACTTGCACATTCAGTTCCACCTTATACAGGTTTCAAGGGTCCCTAAAGATATTTATATGTACATTAAAGTCTGCATGTGACAATAATTGTCTACTAACATGGTGGTCTGTGAACTAATGGTTTTGTTAGCTTATATTAAATTTATAAAAAAAAAAAATTCATAACTGATTTACATGTTTCATGTTTAAATTATTAGTTTATTTTAAAAAATATTAGTATAATTTTTTTAACTCAGAAAGATAGCACCGATTCCAGAAAACTGAAAAATTCATTTGTTTGCACAGTTAATACCAGCAAAATGGACTTGTCTAGGCTAGTAACACTAGCTACTGATAACAGAAAAGAAAATTATAAATTGTCACTTTTTTTTGTTAATCTGATAAATGAGACTAAGAATGTCAGTTGATATACTTAACATTTATTTTTAACATTAAAATTCTCAAATTTTTTATCTCATTTATAGATAAACACTACCTGTTCAATTTAAATCTTGCTTACTGAGTATCTTTTACCCGTTATACAGTAACAGATTAGGATGCTTAATAGAATTACTTATATGAATATTTTATTGTCTATGTTTAGCTCCAGTCTGTGGAATTATTATAGTATTTCTATGATAAATTTAACACATAATAACCTGCTCTCTGTGGCATCTAGAGACTGAAAGTTATCACTTTCTTACACTAAAAATAGATTTTGGATAGATACTTACCTCTGCTTATACAATAGCTTTTCTTGATCTTCCACTGCCCTCTAACACATTGAAAGGAAATTTTTCTTGCATGATGCACTAGCCTTTATATCCCATAAATTCAAACTGCTCATTTAGCATGCATAGAGCATGCAACAACCTCTTATCAACAGGAGTATGACACACTCTCTTGGAGTATCTGGCTCCCTCTGTACTACTTTACGTGAACCTCACTTTCGAGATTAGGCCCACAAGAAACAGAAGAAACAGAGGTGAAGAGGAAGGGTGAAAAGAGGTAAGTATCTATCGGAAGTCTATTTTCAGTGTAAGAAAATCATAACTTCTAATACAATACATACCTCTTCTCACACAACAGCTAGAATGCCACATTATGTAGGTGAAGGGACCAGTGTAAGATAAAACATGAGACCCTCTGCAGAAAGAATCCATACAGAATCAAACAAGATATGCTCTGTAATTGAATGGAAGCACCTTGCAAGGGACCGCATCATGTCTGGAACAGGTAGGCTCTTCACCCTCAAAGAAGTGGAGTACCATGAAATGGGCAGCATTGAGGCCTAGAGCTAGTAAAAGAAAGACCTCTGGAAAACAATGTATCTGGTGTAAATAACCCATGTGAGCCCCACTTCATCCTTAACCATACCAATAGGACCGGAAATAAACTGACTCCAGTAGGATAAGAGTCACATGTAGTAAAATAACATAAATATGTAACTCCAAACTCATACAGAAAAAATTGAAAGCCAATGGCATATACACAGAATTATGAAGATGGAGGCATTCAACAAGACATTGCTAGGGAGCTACTAAACCCCAACCATACAGACAAAAAATAAAGCCCCTGCAACAAGACATAATATAAAAAGACATCTAAGTAAGAGTCGAACAAGTGCATGTGGATTTACCACAGGAGACAGATGATATCCATCAGAGAAGGAAACAGTCCAGTGGTGTAGTCTATGAGTGACATAGGTATGGGGAGTGGTTCACATTACAGTCTGGATGATCACCTCCAGAGGACAATGATAAACAAGCCACTAGAGACATGGTGATATGTTGAATCTGATGAGACAAGATAGGATAAAGATGATGCCCTTCTGAGGAGAGGGAAAAAGAAGCCAACCTAATAAGCTGATAAACTCAATACATAACCTTTGTACCCTTCTCCATCCCTTCCTTTCCCTATATTTCTTCCTTGTCAGATCTGGATCATCTCCTGTGTCTGCTCTGCGGTGCTATGTGGCTGGTACGGCTTCATTTCATGTTTTCCGTTCCTGTTTTTTTCCTTCTGTGTCATGTGACCTCCTCTCTCCCATCACTCCAGAAATGCCCTCACAGACAACTGAGGTCTTGGAATGGAAGTAACAGTTCGGGTACAGGAAACATCTCTCACAAAAAAGTCACATCAATGACCACTGCAAGTCACGAAGAGAAGGAAATAGGTCTTGATGGAAAGATGATACAGGAAACATGAAACCAAAGTTTCAAAGGGAGGTTGGGAAGAAGGAAAAAGGATGACACTGAGATCCCAAAGAGGTACTGGAAAGACATGGCAAGGATGAAGAACCTGAAAGGACCGGAACAAGAGGTAAAGGGCGGGAGATGATAAAACTCAGCTGAACCTGGTTAAAAACAAAACGTGTTTGATAAGGTTGCCCTATAACCAGAAAATTTCAAAACTGAACAATTCTGATTGAAGAACCAGGAAAGATGAAGAATGGAAGGGATGGAAACCATGTCAGAGAGACCAACAATGAAAAGTAATTAAAATCAAAAGTCGTTAGTAAACAAATAACATGAAAGGTTGGACTGAGAGAAAAAGGATAGAAGCAACACAGGATGTCAAACCATGTCTCCCAGCAAGGGACCTGATAAAAGCCATGCATGATACAAGAGAGTGGGAACAGCAGGATGGAAGATGTAAAATTGTAGTTGACAAAGGAGAGAGGTACACAGAAGGAGGGACAGAGGTGATAACAATAGCAGAAGCCTCAGGAGAAGGAACCAAAACTTAGCTGACTAAAACGGAGCCACCAAGAGAACTTGACACAGAGTGGTGTGGATGAGGGAGATTACTTTTGGGAAGATATGTATAGCTGGGAAGGCCCCATCATTCCTGACTGAAAACATCTAGCCCTAAAGCCTGAGGATGAGGAACCGAAGACCAGAAAGACAACAGTTTGTTGTTCAGATGTGTGATAAATGCAACTATGTGTGGGGTACCCAGATGAGAGCATAACCACCAGAAAACCTGAGGATCTAGGGACCACTTAGTGGGAATGATCATGTGTGGACTCAATAACTGATCTCAGCAACTTTTATAGGGTTTTTAAGTTAAAATGTATTTGGATGGACAAAGTAAGAAATGACTGGTTTTAACAAAACCTGTAAATCAAAATGAACTTTTATTGACCATAGAGTTAAATAATATATGTTCAATAGGCATGGGTTGAAACAAGGGAATGATGACATGACTTCACTGCTTTTCTGGCTTTCTCAAGATCAGAAATTCATTCACTTGAAAAGCATTAAACTGTACTTACAATTACCCTTTCTTGGTAAAGAGAAATTTATAAGCATAATAAGGCAATTTATTTTTAGAGGAACATACTTACTATTAATCAGAAGGTTGGATTAAAATTACAGTATTCCATAAATATTTCTGATCCATGTGACAAAAACCTCTAGTGTTGAATCTTATTGATTTTAAAAAAGCCTGTAACTTTGTACACAGACAATCAATATGGAGTATGCTTAAATGCTATGGATTCACAAAAAAACAACAACAACTAATGTGATAAATATGCTATACGAGGTAATACAAAGTGGTTTGAGGTTACAAGTAGAGTTAGGCAGGGTGATATTATATCACCACTCTTGTCCTATACTCTTATGGATTGGGTTATAAGAAAAGTTTATCATACAAATGGTGGGACTGAATGGTAAAATAACACTCTTTTGAAAAGTGTAGAATATGCTGATGATACATATTTTGTCATAGCACAAACATTGGCCAGAATAACTGCAGCACTGGCACAAGAAGCTCATAAGGTTGGCTTAATTATTAACACTGGTAAAAAAAAAAGAAAAGAAGACAATGGGTTTGAAGAATTATGATTTGGTTCAGTTCATTGTGGATGGAAAGATACTTAAGGCTGCAGAAACCTTTACATATATATTGATAGTATAGCTAGTGTTGTTGGAGAAATATACAAGGAAGCAAAGACAAGATTGGGAAAAGCAGAAGTTGGTTTCAAAATATAGAATGGAATATGGAATAATGTAGATTTATCTATTAAGATGATGCAGAAGTTGTTCAATGGCTTGGTTGTTTCTGTTTTGTTGTTTGGCTATGAGACAAGGAAAAGATTAAAGGCAATTGAGTCTAGACTGAGAAGTTTTGAAAGTAACTGTTTTAAGAAAGATAATGAAGGTCATATGGTTTGATTGTATAAATGAAGAGAAAATTGGATAACAATCAATCAACGAAAAGCTCAAGCTGTGTAGACGGAGATACTATGGGCATTTGGGCATGTTTTAAGAATGAAAGCGAACTGACTGTCAAGACAAGCAATGGGCTGAAAGGCCAGTTGGAAGAAGGCAGAAAGGAAGACTGAGAGATACTTGACATTGAACAATAGAGGGATATGATCATAGCTGTCCTATGGACCATTTGAGGCCTGGAAAGAATTGACAGTGATATGACAGCCATAAACTAACATTACAAACTCAAGACAAAGTAGAATACAATATATCGTGAAACAGTAGATAGCTTCCATAATCAAACCCTGCTACAGAAAGTAACACCTTGGTCTGAATTTAGCAGATGAATTGATCAGATTTAGTAAGTTCCATATCAGAATTGAGAAAGATTTAAAAATTTAGTAGGTATGAAATACATGTTAGTTGCGAGTGAGATGTACTGTACTTGCATACTACAATGTCATAATGAAATTGTTATATCTAAAAGCATTTACCAAAGACAATCTGCAATGAAAGTAATGTTATAAAGAAGTGTGGCAAAATTTCCAAGATAATCTTCTTGATCCTAGAGTGAGTGGTCAAACAACATCATGAGTAGAAGACCACAAACGTATATACTGTTAACTTCTGATAAAATGCAAGTTGTTTTATTAGGTTATCCATATCATAAGAAAGTACAGCTACAAAACCAGCAAATGACTGACATAATACAGAGACTAATTTTAATATTGAATTTTGGCTACATTAACTGAATGTGTATGGGCCGGGTCCATTAAAAAAATAAGTCGACAATAATTTTGAATTTACCAAGTGTATCTTCGCAGAAAATGGTAAGATGCTAGTAAACAGTACATGTCTATTATACACAAAAAATCAAATATGTTACAAAAGTATTTGTACTAAAGATATGTCTGTGAATTGATGAAGCCAGTTTGACTCACATTATGGCATGTCAGAGTGCAAGGTGATATTTATATAAATAATAAGAATACTTTTACCATCACACAATTTGCATATTTGTATTTGCATAACCTCCACAACCCCCTAAATGCATACCTTAAGTTTTTTCAGTATACCTGTATATTGTATCTGGTACTTTCTAGCATGAACTGTCACAAAATCAGCAGTGAAGGATAAAATAACTCATTGATAACTATGACATCAAATCCATAATACCATACTGAATGGCACTCTGTACAGTCATGTAATGTTTTCTTTGACCCCCACCCATGCACACTGGGTTAATAAATAAATCAGTTATGTGACAGTACTTGAAATCGATATGTCAAATAAAAATAGTTATCTGGAAAATAATAATTAAAAGAATTAGAATTCTTTAGTTAGCCACCTTAAGTTTAGTTTTCTGGACAAAATTTTTGAAGGTTGAACATTTTACCTAATGTTGCATCTTTTCCGTTTTGATAAAGTCTTTTTAATTTTCAAGTATTCTAATTGTAGGTTGGCAAACAATTATTGTTTAAACAAACAATTCTTTTTCTAATACCCATTAAATACAATATTTACTATATGTTATACATGATTTCATTTCTAGGTATTGTTTAGAAATAAGTAAAATTACCTATAACATATATTATTAAGAATGATTACATTGTAGTTTGCCTAGTATAAAGTAACCATTAAATAACAAAAAACACAGAGCAACTATAAATCACAAATGTTAAGCTGAAATACCCAGTACAATATAACAATACTACTATCCATTTCACATAACATATTCTTTCTAATCTTAATTTTCATAACTTTATACAATTTGGATGTAACAACTAAAAACTCTATGTACATGTGATAAATGTTTGCTACTAAAGTAAAAGAAATTTTAAAAACAAAATAGACTGTCTGATAAAAAAAAGACCAAAGTTTTTTACAGGTAGAATGACAAATAGTTGTTGTAATAGAATTTTTTTTTTAATTATTGCTTAGAAGTAATTTTTTTAGTACCAGATAAATATTAATTGACCTACAAATACTTAACCATTGCAAGATTAAATTCAACTGGCAAAAAACATTCAAATTACTATTCTTAGTAAATTTAAATTTTATAGAGTAAAGGCTTACAGCAGAGGATGAAAAATCTGAATTTTGAAATAATTTTTATAAAAATTCCAAAAATATATATTATAAGAATGATTACCTTGCAATATGTCCAGAACAAAGATTTTTTTAGTAGCTTCTGAAGATTTTTCAAATGTGCCACAACTATCTGTGTTGGGTAGATGATTTCGAAGAGAGACTCTCACACTGTACTCACCAGTCATAGGGAAAATGTATTGTACTACAGGGCCTGAAAAAAAAAGGACATAAGATAGAGCAACAATATAGCCTTATTATTAACATAATGTACAATAAGAATTAATTAGTGTAATGTATACAAATAAAGGATACTTAAATAATAATAGTGACAGAATGGTGAACTGACCAACAATGATTAATAAGCATAGTGAAAATTTTATGTTGAGAACATATCACATGTTTCAACAGAACACTAGTCTATCTTATCCAGAATATAACAGAAAGATAAGAAAAGGGCTTATCTCGAATCAATGATATCACAAACTGCATATGCTTGGAAAGGATGACATCTAACATCATGCATATTGATTAGCATTAATTCAGTAAAGGGTTCCTGTTCAAAAATTTAACAACATTTTAGAGAGTTCAAGTCATCATTAGGTAGTTTGGGATGTATTACATATGTGGAGGATTTGCAGTAATCAATTCCAGGTGTTTATCTACAAAAATTCATCAGTTAATATGTTATGGTTATTAGTGCAGATATTGTTTTGGCTGTTATAAGAACTTTTTAAAGCTAATTTGGTTAAAAGATTGAACTACTATAATAACATTTGAATTATAATTTAACTAGTTATTCTGATTAAAATTATAAACTGCATTTTAATTTTTAGTGGTGGTATTACAAAAGAAACATTTGTTTTTCTTTTTTGTCAATCAAGTCTTTTTTTGTATGATGCTTCAACAAAATCCCTTTAATACTTAGACAATTATTAAAAACTTACTGTAAATACAGTGACCTTGTATGTTTCATTAACCCATTAACTGCGGATGACGGATATTTCCGTCACTGAAGTTCTAAGGCTCAGCTGCAAATGACGGAAATATCCGTGAGTCGCAATATATAACTATAACTCTATGCGAATGATGATAATTACTGTTTTATTGTGATTGATGGCAACTCAGTTTTATCAGAAAAAGGCAACTTTGCTGCTCCTGCAGCAGTTAATGGGTTAACAGAAAGAGAAAAGTACCTATTAACTTTTACACTAATGCTACTAATAAGAACTACAAGTGGATGCAAAGAAAACCATGTAATAAAAAGTGAACCACATTATATCTGATAAATACAGTCCCAATAAGGCTTTTCACCAAATACCAAGGTTCATCAGACTCAACTGTAACATTGTGAATCAAGTCCTATAACTGAAGTGTAATTATTATCAATTTTGTTTAAGCAATGGTAAGGATTAATAACATTATATTGTTTATTTCTAACACTAGCTATTCATTATTTTTACTTGAATTAACTTTACTATTATTTAGAAAAACAATCAAACCAGCAAGTAGGGCTTCTTGTTTCCCAACTATACTGTAAACAGGAAAAAACTATATTAATAATACTTAAAAACTTATGAGTGAAAGCAAAGAAAAAATATATAATAATATAATAAATTACTTACCGGCATCAAGTACCTCTTTTTCTCCAATCTTCCAATCATAAATCACATTTTCATTAGGGCTTACTGTTACAGATGCTCTCATTGTTACCACTTCACCCTTAGCAGCACAAGTAGGAGTTACTAACGTCAAATTCTTCAAATCATTTTTTACTAGAATCTCCATTGTTTTGTTGACAGTTCCCAGTAGATTAGAAGCTCGAACAGTCACCAAGAAAACACCCTCTGATAAGAAATTTAATATCATTCTTCTTATTAGTTAGTGACAAGGACAACAATATGCAATAATTTAAGTAAAACCAAGAAAAATACTTTCAAAAGATTACATGTTGTATACTTTCATAATCATTTAACTTTTTGAAAACTGGCACTTCCACGTTTGTAAGGTTCTAGGAATGACAGTGTAAGTTGCTTAGACATATATATATATAAAGCACAAAAACCTACTTGTCTGTCTCTTTGTCCATTTTGTAACTATTCCTAGATTGTTGGGCCAATCTCAACCAAACTTTGTGGAATGATAGTTTGGAACAAGGGGCATGTTAATGGAGGGTTCAAAACCCCTTTACCCCCATTATTGCTGTCACTGAGCATTTGTTATTTATGATGTAAGTTAATGTTAACTACAGTCATAGATAATGCCAACACACACAAAAAAAAACTTTACATTTTCTACAACACAACATACACACAGTGTGGGGGAGGGCACACAAACATCTTATATATATCTCAGAGAGTGCACTAGCACCCTCTATGGAGGAATACAATGAAAAAAATTACCACCACTATTGCAATAATAGATAAACTCTGCTCAAGTTTCTACTCAAACAGCCAACATAAGGTTGATATGAGCAGCTGCTTCTTAACTTATACCCACTTCCTACTTTGATGCATGACCTTTTAACTTCGGTCTATAGACACTTCTGCAGCTAATGATCATCAATTAATTAATCATATGAAACACCACGGAAAGACATTAAGATGTGGGTGTTGAAAGCAGGTAATAGAAAGCACCTCTACCACCACTACTTTGGCCACTACCTCTTTCTACAAAGTCACCCTAACCAACGAACAGTGTATAACTTATTTTAAGTATATACATATTGAGTTATTAAAGCTTAATGCAAAACCTTTAGTGATGTAATAACGAATACCATAATAATATGCTATGTTCTAAACAAATTGTATGAAAGTTTGGATTTTTGTGTTATTTATCATAGCATCCACCCCAACATTTTTTAAATTCATAACCCAGACAAAGAATGGGTACCCCAGCTTGTAAAATATAAAGTCCAACAGTGGATTAGTGTCAAGTAATTTCTCTGTAATTGTAATGATGAGAAGAAATTAAATGTATACTATAGGCAACTTGAACTTAGTCTTTATCTAATAGCTGCAGATAACTTTAAAAAAAATTACTGAGAAATTATTAAAGAATGAGATATATCTGATAAATTTGAATACTTATGATAAGTTTTGGAAGAGAAAAGACATTTCAGAAACATACTTCATTTAATTAGCAATCATCTTTCTATAAAGAATAATCAAGTGGTAACAAGTTTGATTTAGATATGAAGAGTATATATAAAAACAACGACATGTCTATTCATATCTATTATAATAATACTCAGTTTTTGTCTGTACTACAAATGTGCACACACTTTATTATCTAAATGCACATGCACGCATACTTCATTTCAATGGATTTAAACAAAACACAGATGTATATATACTTTAGTAGACGATTTGTACAACAACATGTTAAAAAGCCTATCTGAGTTTTTAAAAAGGTCTAACGTTAGGTTGTAGAATAACATTATAAGTTTATTTATTGATAGTATTAAGTATGGTAAAGTTTAGTCCTAACTAAACTAAAGCAAAAAACATACACAAGTTATAGTACTAATTTAGCTCTTAACTAATATAAAAATTAAGACAAGTGGACTTGTAGATTTTGGTGTTTGTGATTAGAATCCCTTTGTATTATTGTAGAAATCTTTATATTTAAAGAAGTACTGTTGCAATAAAAAAATACTAATTTGACTGATGTTTTTCAGGTTTCTGTTAATAGGGACATACTATGGATAATGCCCTTCCTGTGGCAGATATATCACTAGGTGAAAGTGGCACATACCAAAGGCCCACGATTTTTTTTGGGGGGGGGGGGTAAAAATCGAAATTACAAATGTTCATAAACATGTTTCATATTTTATGAATCATGTACGTGACATATATCATTTTATTATTGTTTATTTTTTCATTTATTACACAAAGAGTAATGTATATACCTATACAGCAAAGTATGTGATTTAGATTTTGTCTAAATGCAGTTCATATCACTATACCTTAACCTTTCTCTGCTGGTAAATGACTTGGCATTCATTGAAACATCTTGTACTTAAACATATTAGTACTGCTTATTTCCATTCCTTGTATCAAATTTAAGAGCACCCTTTGGGCAACTTAAAAAATAAAATCATTGAAAAATTCATTTTTGAATTAAGAAATGATTTTGAATTAGCTGAAAATAAAGCAGATAATTTATGTACCACTAGTGACAAATTATTTTATTAAGAAAGAAGCAGGCAGAATATGGAAAGTATTCTTTGATGAAAATACTAATAATAAAGTATTGTTAACATGAAGAAATTGATTCATTTCTAATGTTTTCTTTGTAACTTGTGAAAAGACTAGTTACCAAAATTGACAAAAGAGCTGAAAGTTACACAGTGATTTTGTTAAATATTTGAAAATATTTTTTGATTTTACAATAGGTAACAAAGAAAAATATGAATGTTTGAAAAAATGTATTTAATTTATATACGATCATATAGACACTAACTCATTTAAAGAAGAAACAGCAAATGTTTTAAAATTTTGTGAAGAAGAATATGTTTGTTGCTGAGTGACGTATAATTTACTATTGAATGGATTGCATTTGACATTTCAAAATGTAGAAACTGTGCTGAGAATTTTTTAACTCCTCCTATTAGCACTGCTACAGGTGAAAGGTCATTTTCTGTGTTAAAAAGAGTGAAGAACTATTTACAGAACACAATATCCCAGGATCATTTATCTTCTCTTTCATTTCTGAACATACATAACAAGGAATTAGAGCATACAAAGAAATTATTCATCAGGTTGCAGTTAAAAAAGTCAAGAAATTTTTGATATGAGGTAGATATTTATCCTTTGAGTTTGCATTATATATATATATATATACCTAATACAACATTAGTTGCTAATTCATACCATTATGAATTATCTACATCATTATGTCAAGAGTAATGCTAGTGATAGAGGTCCAAACTTGAAGTTGCACCTAGGGCCCCAGAATAGCTAAATCCATTACTGTGTACTTCTATCAACACCACAGACATAGGGTCTAAAACTATAACACAATTTTAGAATAAGTACCCCTCATTTATATTAAAAGTTGTAAACTTAAAATGCTATTCTAATGGTCTTATTATACAACTTGAAGAAATATTACAAAGATTTAAACTTTTATTTTTAAAATCAATGTTAGAAGTTTACTTACAAGCCTATAGAGAATCCTTAAGATTTTTGTGACCACTAAACCTAAAGTTTTTAAACTTCAATTAATAAGGAAAAAAAAATACTGGTTTGTTTAATCCTTTAACAGCTTGCTCTCCTCTACCTACAAAGTAAGCTTTGTTCTTTGTATACATACTTTGTTAAGTTATGCTGCAAAGTTAACCCTGTTTCTTGTATACTTACCTAAGTAGAGGTATACTACAAAGATAACCATTCAGTATAACAATTGCCAAAATCTTCTAACAGGTATAGAAATGTTTTTCACTTTAATTCTGGTTCTACTGCCCACTTTTAATTTTGAAAATCAATAAAACACACCTGATCTATAAATATGTTCTGTTTTTCCAGTTTTTCCACCATGCCCCATAATCCATGGTATTCCAAGTACTTTACTGTAGCTGCCATCTCCAAAATCAAAGTGGAACACAACATCAGAACCCATCTTTGTGTGGGCTTCAAACTGAACAGGTTCAGAGGTCCATCTTGTCTCAGATGAAGAACCATGATCTCTGTATTTTTGCTGACTTTTTTTAAGTGAAACTACACATGAACTGGATTTCAAATAGATTTGTGTAATTGGCTCTACTACCTGAATGGGTTTTTCAAGATACACAATTATTGGCTGCTCATACAAATCATTAATGATGTTGACTGTAATGTTGTAGGTACCAGATGTTCCATAGGAATGACAGGCAGTGCTTGAAGATACATTACTGAATAAAAAGAGATGAAGCCATTATTTCTTGAAAATGATGACAAAAAGGTTATTACAAGTACACAATACTATACAAAGAAACATAATAAACTAACAAATTCATATTAATTTGAAATTAATTGTTTAACAACTGAGCACCTATCACCACTTTAAGTTATGAATTGCTGCAGCTGAAATCTTATGAACATGGTATAACTTTCTGATACACACTTAAAATACAAAATATAGAATAAAGGCAAATACTGAAAACATAAACTATTCTAGAATATAAAAACTGCTGAAAATGTAAAATTATACAACATATATTATTATATTGTTTTATAAGGCCAAACAGCATTATGAATTCTTCAAAGACTAATTACGAGTTTAAAATAGCAAAATAATTTTTGTAATTTCAAATAAGATCTTATATTTTCTTCCACAATTGAACAGTATTCATTTCCATTTCCTTTTTAGTTACAAAATGAGAAAACATAACTATAGTAAATAAGACTATAGACTAAACAAGGATAGGGATTATTAGGATTTAGAAAAAAATTAATATTTTCCTGATACTTAACAAAATCCTTAAACACAAAAACAATATTTTTTCAATAAATTTTAAAAGTTCTCATTTTTTTAATCAACTTGTTTCTATTTGCATAAATCATTTACATAATAATGAGAGTTCAAAAAATATGTTGCAACTGTTTTGCTTCATAAATATTGAAATGTTTTGATGACAATAATAGTTTTCTTTATCTGTACAATACATGATTCCCTTATATTATGAAGTATCCACTATTTTATACTTGTTTTCCTTTTGTATTATCATGTTTTCTATAATAATCTTTGTATAAATATCTAGTAGAAAAATTACTTAGCTAAAGGATATTATCAATCAGTTTATTAAAACTATGTTCCAAACAATCACTTCAATAAGAATTACAATGTGTATCTTACAAAAATAATTTTTTCAATTTTACTGATTTTGTGGTAAAAGTATTGTTTGTAAAATAAGAAGATCAACCTTTTTTTTTCCTGTTAATGTACTTTTGTTTCAGTTTACATTTTTATTCAGCAACAATTTTATTAATGTCTCCAAGTGTTTCGTTAGTTTTAAAACAAATTAAAATATATTTTGTTTATGTGATAAAAGAATTCTTTTTAAAGTATAGATTAATCCTATTTTTTCCTATTAATGTATTTTTATTACAATTTGCATTATTATTCATCAATAATTTTAGCAATACCTCCAAGTGTTTCTTTAGTTTTAAAACAAATTAAAATATATTTTGTTTATGTGATAAAATAATTCTTTTTAAAGTATAGATTAATCCTATTTTTTCCTATTAATGTATTTTTATTACAATTTGCATTATTATTCATCAATAATTTTAGCAATACCTCCAAGTGTTTCTTTACTTTTAAAACAAATTAAAATATTGAATACAAAGTATTAAAGATGTGAAAGAATCTCATATTTACCTATTTCTTCTAAAATCTAACTGACAGAGTATCTTTAATATTACTACTTTTCAATTTCTAAAGGATGAAAAAATGAAAAATAATAGTTCAATTATAGATACATCTCCCATTCTTGCCTAAAGACATGGTAGTTTTTCTTAATGATGCCAAACATCACTTGGCATCATGCTGATGATCAAACCAGTTATCCTGATTCACAAGTTGAATTTAAGAAGTTTTTATTTTCCAGGTGATAACAAATTGTAAACGAGGGGAAAAAATGCCATGAAATACAAAATATTGTGATAAATTTGTGTTAAACTGTAATGATGTGGGAACAATGGCACTAATTCATTCATATAAAAAAAGCTACCACTTCCAGAGTTTAATAGAATGTTTGAAAGTAATTCCCTAATATATATGTGCTTCTTCCATCTAAACACAAGAGCCTTATAATTATAATATCCATGTAATAACTTACCTGTTCAATATGATATAATCTGAGTTATCTCCAAAATCCCAACTAAATTTCAAATCAGTTCCTGAAGTCACTGTAACCATGACAACAACATCTTCAAGTACTGCAGCCAATGGTTTGTTAAGAAGTGTCATTGTTATTCCACTGATTGGTTCTTCCACCACAGCCCAGGTGGATCGTGTGATCCAGCTTACCTCATTAGATACATTAACAATGACATGATGGTGACCAACAGATCTATATTTATATTCCTTAGTAAAGCTAATCACTGGAGGGGTTCTATTATCAGTTGGCTTCATGTTATTAGAGTATGTAGATGGAAACGACTGATGGTTAATTCCATCACCAAACTCAATAACAATATCAAAACTGGGACTTCCACACACCTGAATTTCAAAAAGTGAATATCTGCCTAGAACTGTTGGTTTTGAAGAAATACTGAGATTAGTCATTGCAAACACCGCATTAACAGATGTGGCTACTTGTAACATAACGATACCGTTTGATGCTTTTAGAGAAAGCATGTTATTACCTGGACTAGATAGTCCTGGTACCACCTGAGAAAGAAAATATAATTTTATGTACAAATTATAATAAAAACACAAATCACTATTCAAATTAATAAAGAAAAAATAAAATTACAAAATGAAGACACACCAAATGTTCTTTGCAACCAATGAAATAGATAAAGCAAAGATGACATAAAAACTAATTATGAAATTACAAGAATACCAAATCATTTGCTGCATAATTAAAACATTTTATCTTGCTGCCAGATTTGAACTTTTTTGCTCCTCAAACTCCTACAAATAAGTCATATACGAAATATTATGTACAATAAAAAAATAAGACATTACAAATCACCAAGCATCATTGTTGATGTACATTTATAAGTTAACAAAAGGTTAACACAATCAACAGCAAAACCAAATCTATAGTGTAAAGCAGCCTCAGTTCATTAAATTTAACAATAGTTTGTACAATATTATGTACAATAAAAAATAAGACATTACAAATCATCAAGCATCATTGTTGATGTACATTTATAGGTTAACACAATCAACAGCAAAACCAAATCTAAAGTGTAAAGCAACCTGAGTTTATTAAATTTAACAATAGTTTATCTTTCCATAAATAATGGAATCAATCAATTGCACGTGTAAAAAGTTTTACAATACAGTATTACTATTACAAAAATAACGCATATCCAACATTTTTATAAACATACAAAAGTGTTAAACTTACAAAATACTCGAAGTCTTTTTCACTGTTACATTGAATTAACATGCTTTAACACACTTAGAGAAGTCCATTTCCTACAAATGTCTATTGTGAATTTGTGTGTATTTCTTATAGGAAAGCCACATCAGGCTATCTGCTGTGTCCATCGAGGGGAATCAAACCTCTGATTTTAGCATTGTAAATCCGAAGACTTACTGCTGTCCCACCAGGGGACTATAGTGAATTTGATTAAAATGTTAAACATATGAAAAACATGCTTCAAAGTTGCATGCACATCAAATGAAGTAAAAAATTTAATCATATCTATGAGAATTACTAAACAAAAATCATTAAGTAATAATATCCCCCACAGTGGCTCAGTGGTAAAAATTGGGTTTTGATACCCACTGTGAGCAGAGCAAAGATAGCCCACTGCAAAGCTTTTTGCTTTAACAGCAAGTAATAATATTTTTTTAAGTTTGTGCAGAAATTATACTTATGCTATTTAACAAATTGTTTTAGGTAAAGCCTCTTTTTTTTCCCCTTACGAATGTTACTGGTATTATTAATTGTTTTAATTTAAACCCATGATGGGCTACTTTTATGAGATAATATGACAATAGCTAATTTTATTTTTTTCTGAAGATTTTCATTGAGTGAAATATATATTAAAACAATTTTAGACTATATTTGATAACTCATAAATTTGGTTTTTGGGAACAATATTAACATTAAAAAACAAATAATACCATTAAATTTTTGATACAGTGAACTTTACATCTAGATGAACTACAGTGTTAATCAGCAGTTAATAAAATTCTATCACTGGCACAATTAATTGACATACACCTGGGTGCAACCAAAAAGTTTATGAATGTGAAAAGTAACAATTTAATGAAGCTATAATTAATTTAATATTAAATTGTATTCTAATCATGTTATACTGTTGTCATGCTGAAAAGGTATTAGTGGTATGCAGATATATGTATCACATATCCTTTCCTATTATAACATATATCTTTAATGTATCAACATTTTTTTTAAATTTTCACTACAGTTCCAGTTAAAATCATAAATTTAAAAACTGATAAATATGGTCTTAGTCATGCTAATTTTGCTCCATGTGTCAAGCTCTAAAGCACGAATTAATCAACGATGTACCTACTGTTTAATAGGGTAATTATATTACATCCAACATTGCCCTGAGTGTGAAGTTATTTACATGAATGTCACATTGGAAAGAGATACTTCTGGATTCTTGTGTTCCAGTTTCTGATTGGTCAGATGAGAGTGAATGTGGATCATAAGAATGGTTTGGAACAAATCAGAAAGGTTTGCTTCCAACTCTGAAAGGGCCACAACATACTGGTGAAGTTCTGACATTTAACATTAGTGTTCCATCTTTGAAAATATGTGTAGCTGCTTTTCACCTTTAATTTATTGTTTCACATTCTTTTCTAAATAAAACACAGCTTTATTTCCACTTTAACAAATCAAACCACCCCAGTAAATGTAGTTTTCCTATTTATTTTCCCTTAACTTGTAAAAATTTAACCCCATAGCTCATCCAGCCATTAACTTCAGTACAATACTTGTTAATAAAGTATTTTTCCTTGCATTGTCTTCACATCAAGGTTTGTTTTTTCATTTAACTGGAACAACTCACTATGCTTGTCCTTCCAATTTGACCTTTTGTAATGACAGACTGGTTCAGTGTGTATAATAAAATATTGTGTTTGTTTGTGTGTATGAGAGAATATTTCTAATTCAGTTATATAATAATTAACAAAATATTAAAGAGTTGCAGACTAATCTTTAAATCATATTTTATTGGAAAAAGACAGGGGACCTTTGTTTTTTTTATATACAAAAATGTCACAATAAATGGACATTCATAACTTTCAATATGCCAAAAGATATAGATGACCAATCTTGGCTATTTTATTATTAGAAATCTCATTCTTGCAGCATCTATAACTTATAAAAATCCATTACATGGTCCTATGGTATATCAAATTAGATACCTCTCATAGTTTGCAGTAAACATTTCTTCAAAAAATCCATTATATGGTTCTATAGTATGTAAAATTAGATACCTCTCATAGTTTGCAGTAAACATTTCTTATTTCTTCAAAAAATCCATTATATGGTTCTATAGTATGTAAAATTAGATACCTCTCATAGTTTGCAGTAAACATTTCTTACATTTCTTCAAAAAATCCATTATATGGTTCTATAGTATGTAAAATTAGATACCTCTCATAGTTTGCAGTAAACAATATGAGTTTATACCTAACAACTAACACATGACTAAATGTAGATGACTGTTAACTGAATGAAAAGTCATTGCTCTATGGCTATAGTTAAACAATTGCTTTGGGCAATTTTTCTTTCTGGTGGTTGAAAATGAAACATTTTCTGAAATCAGAGTTTCTTAGAAACGAAACTTACAACTGATCCTGCAGTCCACCAGCTGCTTCTTCCATAGTTCCACAAAAACACTACATCATCATTTGGACTTGGGGTTACAGCTGCTCTCCATATCACAGTGTTAACTCCAGTACTTCAAAATTAGAAATAGAAAATAATTAATGAAAATAGATAATGCTAAAGCCAACCGACTTAAATTCCAACCTCCATACATTTCTTCATCGGTTCATTAAATAAATAATTAAAACAAGTATTACAACAACAAAAGAACAAACCATTAACACCTGCTACTTTGCAAATATTTCTCATAATATATTATTTCATTATGTCAGACTGGCTTATATTAAAACATTTAAAGCAATATAAACCTGTCAAAAATGTTGAAATGGAATATCCAAGCAAATATTTTAGGGACCTTATGAAATGAATCCCTTATTGAAAGCATCAAAAAGTTGCTTGTTTTGTTGTTATGAAACAACAGATTGTATTACCAAAATATTCAAATTTCTTTTATACTTTATACTATTATATCTAAGTATTTTTTCTGGAAATGACCAAACACCAGTAGATATACCATCTAATAAGATCAAATGTAAATTGACCCTAAACAGCCAGCAGCTGAAAATGATGTAACCACTTTGGATTATTTAGACAATTTTACAACAAATAAAACTAACTTTAAAGGTAAATTACTGCCCTATGTACTAATTATTAGCAGGTAAAATAAGATCACAATAATGTCAGGAAGTTTCTGAGAAATGTCACAAAATATACCACTCACACACCTTTCACATTCATCTCCAAACTTTTACCTTATGATTTCATAAATGCTTTTTTGTACAAATAATAATAAGTAGTACAACTCAAAATAACGAATTTATTAATTACAGTGTTAGACAGCATGTGATACACATAAAGCCTACACAATGCAAGTTCACAGATTTTTCTACTGCACAACCTTATATGCACTAATGACAAGAGAAAAAAAATCGTTTTTCTTTCTAATGCTTTTTGAACTGCAATATCACATGAGTAAAAACAGTATTACTCAATTTTGAGTGTGAATAAATAGGTAGAAAAGTTATGTAAATTCATGCTTAACAACAGGTTATCTTAGGACATGAAAAGTTGCTTCCCTTGTGTGTAATTGTAAAAAATGCAAAAATGGACATAAAAACTGCAAGTTTGCATGTATCTCCTCATGAACCCAAAAACCTTTCATGACACAGGGGGTGAAGTAGTGGTAAAAACTGCAAAAATGCCCATGAAAACTGCAAAATAATGCCAAACTGAAAATCTGTATGCATCCTTACATGGACCTATTGAACCTCCATCCACATCCTGCAAAGTAGTTACATGGACATACAACAGACAGTACTATTATATTTATATACATAAGGCTTTGGCTTTAGGGTAAAGATCAAAATTCATATGGTAAGTCATCCATGCTTTAGACCATTCCAATCTGCTGGTCAGTGTGTGAAATGAATGACATTGCTTTTGTATACAATATTTGGTTTCCATAGATCAATAAAACTAGGTGTAATGAGATGCAGTCAGTTTTACTGAGTATATTTAAGTATACCTTTCAAGGCACTACTAACAACCTTTGTATCTTCTCAGAAGTACATGTTATTGGTGTTAATATATCAGTTAAAATAAGATAAAAATAAATTAGTAATGAAATATTTACTTTCTCTGTGTAGTTTAAGAACATTGTAACAGCTAACATGTACATATTGAGTTATAACCCTTAGTTTCTAAATATCAAATAGTGGATATTCCTGAAAGTAATATTACCTGCCCACCTTTATGTTTTCTATTCAAGTATATTGTAGCTATTTTTATTGTCTTTTTAATCCTTCTATTTCACAGTTTTTGGCATATTTTAGGCTACATTAACAATTAACATATTCAAAACTAGCTGGAGTACCCGTCCCCAGGACGAAAGTTATGTAACTTTATGGTTAATGAAAGGTTATCTCAAGGCATGAAAAGTTGCTTTCCATATATAAAATTGTAAAAAATGCCCATAAAAACAAAAAATGTGAAACTGCAAATTTGCATGTATATCTGCATGAACCCAACAAACCTTCATGCCACATTTGGTGAAGATCCATCATCAGTGGGTGAAGTAGTGGTAAAAAACACAAAAATGCCCATAAAAACTGCAAAACTGAAAATCTGTATGTATCTCCCCATGGATCCAATGAACCTCCATACCAAATTTGGTTTAGAACCATCTACAGAGAGTAAAGTAGTGGTAAAAAACGCAAAAAACGCCCATAAAAACCGCAAAATGCAAAACTAAAAATTTCTATGTTCCTTTGCATGGACCCAATGAATCTCCATACCAAATTTGGTGAAGACCCATCCACAACCTACGAAGTAGTTACATGAGCATACAAAAGACAGTACTATTATATTTATATAGATAGTAAACTACAGTTATGTTAATTTTAACACCTAAAGGAAACAGATCATAACAGAATATCATTTCGGTATCTTGGATGGTGTTAAAAAAATTTGGATAATCAGGCTAAACACACACACAGTGTCGCATATATAATACAATTACATCTAGTGTAAAAACTGTTATGTGAGAAAGGTAAGGCGGGTTACATTATGTCAGTTTAGAAACATATAACAGCATTAAATCTCATACGTAGGTTCTGTATTCAGTTTCTTTCAAACAACTGGGAGCTTGCTTTAAAAGCATACTGATCAAAGAGAAGATAGGGTGGTTACTACTTTTTTTTTGATAAATTATTATTTTCAGAATAGTAATTACTGGTGAAGAACATATTTCGTTGTTTTCAAAATTTGTAGTGCATATTGAAGATGTTTAAACATTTTGGCAATAAGTTAAAAAAAAAACGACTCCAACTAATAAAATCTTTTTTTGAATAGAGTTGTTTAAACATTCGTTTAACAACAAGTAAAAGCTTGGAATGGTCTATTCTTTCATTGGGGGTGAGTCTATGAGCCAGACTAGATTCGGAGAATTCCACTCCTCATCAGTGACCTTGGAAAATACCACAAATGAAATATCGGACCGAACCAAGCCGTTATAGTACTTTAAACAACCCAATTCAATTATGTACCAGCTGCCCAATGCCGGCTAATAATACGAAGAGTTAAATTGTAGCAAAATGCTACGAGTTCTTCAAATACCTATAGAATGATAGGTTTCTTTTTTGTGAGTTTAAAACGCTTAAATACACCATTTCGAAATTCTTTTTTTTTATATTTCAGTCAGCATTTCAGCATTGCGGCTTCATTAGGGCAAGTAGTACATTTATTGCACTACTACGAGCCCTGATGAAGCTGCAATGGCAAAACGTTGGCTAAAGTATTGCTGTTGTTTTTTTATCTGGAGAGTAAAGGTTGTTGTTTTTTCTAACTTTCTTTCCAAAATGACCAAGAAAATCTGAAATTTTCATACAGGTATGCGAACATTATAGAGCTGCCATCTTTTGAGACAAATTGTAACTAATCGCTCACGGTGGACTAACTGTAGTACATTATTATTGCATTATTAATACTCTTCTTTCCTTTTCTGTTGGTAGTTGAAAGATAACTTTAGAACTGCTTCTCATATTTTAAGTTTTTCTTTTATATATTCTTTCAATTTTTCACGTAAAGCTTGTGAATAAAGTTAAGTTTAAACCAGTCATGCACAGAAGAAAAAAAGTTCCCGATTCACGCAAATCTAACATGATAAACTCAAGGTAAATTAGAACCGGATGTCTTATAAAGAACAAGATGCATTCTAACATGATAAACTCAAGGTAAATTAAAAACCGGACGTCTTATCCAGAACAAGATGCATTCTAGCATGATAAACTTGAGGTATATCCTGGCATGATAAACTCAAGGTAAACGAGCGAAAATTATGTTTATTAAATACTTATACCCCCACTAATATTATACTATTTAAGTTCTCCCAATTTAATGATGTAGTACCTGTTGTATAAGTTTGGTCAAAATCCATCAATTCAACTGTCAGATTTTATGTCCACAAGATTGGGGCGGATTTTTAATGTATCAATTACCTTTTGACATTAACCTTGACCCACAACCTTCAAAAGTTATACAGGTCTATAAGTTTGTATATAGCACCTGCTGCAAAAGTTTGGTCAAAATCCATCTATCCAACCTGGAGATATTATGTTCACAAGATCGGGAGGAATGGACGTACGGACAGGAGCAAGCCAATAGCCTTGCTCTGCTTTGCACTAGAGGCCTAAATAAGAACTGGCCTTCTTGTAAAGAACAAGGTACATTTAGGCACGAAAAACTCAAGATGAATTGCATGTTTCAACCAAAAAACGACAAAAGAAAGGTGAAATAGAATCAATAATGTTTTAGGGGAAATATATCCAATCAGAAATTCTCTCTCTCAGAAATATCAAGACTTACCCAACATTGACTACATACGACACTAATCCTGGAACAATTTTCCTAGTGGATGGGTGTGTGCGCGCACGCGCGAAAAACCACTGAACAATATAGTAAATACCCTTATCACAAAAAATGTTAAAAGCAGACAGTCAGGCTTCTTTTTTTAAACTTCAAAGCCAGGAACAAACATTTCCTGAAGTGGCTGACGCCATATATTTTCACATTAAACTACCAGCAACAATTACATAATTTATATCTTTTAAACATAGTTTTGTGTGAGCTATCGACATACACACACTTAATAAATCAACAGTACGAATCACTACTCTTCCTCTATCAGCAGTTGCGCAGCACCCCCGGAACTTTAAAGCATGTGTTTCTGTCGTACTCTTAAGCACCTCTAATTCTAGTTCCTTTGACATCAAAGAAAATTAGACTATTACTTTACACCATACCATCCCTTAATATTTTGCTTCTTAATAAGGAATTTTGTGACAATAAAAATGTTTAGAAATGACTTAACATTTCAAATCTAGTACCATATTTGAACACAAGTTACTTGTTTGTGCAATTAAGGTAAATTTAGTCAGCTAATTCTTAAACTTTTGAGTGGTCAGACACTCTCATCGAATATTCTTCATATTTCTGTCACAATACATTTAGAGTTTTTATCAGTAATGCATAAAAATTCTTTGATTAGTGTACTTACATAAAGAAAATAAACTTTGCATTAACTGTTTTAGTTACTCTATGACCATGATACCTGTAAAAAAAATTCTTGAATTTCCTTAATTAAAAAGAAAATTAACAAAAATATTTTTTTATTTGTTGAATATTTATATATTTTACAACTTTTTACAAAAAAGTCTCGATAAACAGATGATAGAAACCAACGAGAACATCCCAATTTCCAAATATGTGACTGTAATCACAGCTAGATCTCAGGTACTAAGTGTGATGAAAACCTAACTAAAATATCACTCAAGTCCAGAAAATGTGGTTTAATGCAAACGAATTTAAAGTTTCACGAATGAGTATTGTATGAGAAATAAAATAAAAAGTACTTAGGTTCATAAATATATATATATATATATATATATACCAGTACCTTAGCAAAATACACTTCTTCAATAAACTATTTACAGATATGTTCTATGTGGAACCAACAATTCTGCAACATGTAAACAAAAACAAACCTAAAACTTGAAATTCTCTGCTGAAATTCGTTCCATATCTTCAAAAAATAAATATGTGTTAATAACTTGGAGCAAATGCTTTAACTTTTGACTACTTCTCTTAGTGATAGTGTCTAGCCTAAAACATGCACTTTTTACAAATAAACAACCTAAAAACCAATTATCTACTTTTATCTACATTCTAGAACATTACCTTTGATTACAATCTTTATTCCGCTGTCCCTTTTCCCCGTATTGCAGGTCATTGGAAAATATATAAAACTTCAAAAACAATCATGTATTTGTTTCTGCTGATCACGGAACACTAGTTTTTTTTCGAAGATGTTACGTTTTAAAAATCCAAGTAGTACCATGACTCCTTACTCTTTCGAAATTTTAACGAACGATTTTTCTTTCCCTGCACATTTAAAATATTACTCTTCGTATAAATATGTATATAAAGCAGAACATACGGACGTGATATGGGTTATAACACATAGTTCACTCACCTGTAAACAGGGACTACGGTTGGCCCTTCAATACGTAAGCTCTGCAGAGGTCGAGAAATCCATATTAGTGACGTCATCGTTAGTTTGGAACGTAGTTGCTGATACATCAGTGTCACGGTCAAGTGATACAAGCCTGGCTGTGGATAGGTATCGTTCCATCTGAAAGATATTTTATTAATTATATCATAATTTGCAATACATAGAATAGTTTCATAACTTTTATATATAGCGTTCGTGAAAAAAAAAACGCTATACAAAACTGCATTCCTGACCCTTTCGCCTGATTTCAATGACGCCGTCCATCGCTTACACTAAACGTATTTTCTATACAGAGACCCTTGACGACACAGACTTTAAAGTCTTCAGCACCCAGTTTTTCACATAGGCTTTACAGCTGATTTTGGCACAAATGTGAAAGCCAAAATTTACCTAATCGAGATTTCTAACCAGGTCCTGAGCCTCCGATTTTTTGCACAGGCGTTTAGCTGATTTTGAAACAAACGTTACAGCCAAAAGTTACCATATCGATATTTTAAACAAGTCCCCAGCCCCCAATTTTTCATAGAAGCGTTGAAGCTGGTTTTGGTACAAATTTGAAAACCAAAATTTACGTAATCGACATTTCAAACCAAGTTCCCTACTACCTGGAAATCTTCTAAGGGGTATAAGATATATGGCAACTTTTGTTTTTTAATTCCTATTAGTTATTGTTCTCCTGATAAGTTTTGGTTTCGATTTTCCAGCATTCTCGATACACGGAGAAAACAATGAAAAGTATTATAGTAGGTAGACAAACAATGATCTATTATTATATTAGCATAATATGCTTCCTTACTTAAAAGTTCAGTACTGTTAAAGGAATGGCCTCATAAGTTATAGTAATCATACAGAAATCGTATAACTGTGCTTTCAGTATTTATATATCAGGAAATATTGTTTGTTTGTTTTGAATTTCGCGCAAAGCTACACGAGTGCTATCTGAGCTAGTCGTCCCTAATTTAGCAGTGTAAGACTAGAAAGAAGGCAGCTAGTCATCACGACCCACCGCCAACTCTTGGGCTGCTCTTTTACCAACGAATAGTGGGATTGACCTTCACATTATAACGCCTCCACGGCTGAAAGGGCGAGCATGTTTGGTGTCACGGAGATTCGTACCCGCGACCCTCAGATTGCGAGTCGAGCGCCGTAACCTCCTGGCCATGCCATCAGGAAATATAAAAAATGTTTTAGCTGGAATAGCTCTCACACCAATCGCTACTCATTGCACCCCCCCCCCCCAGCGATTTATTTCTCTCCATTTATACTTGCTTTCACGTTCTAACTCACTTTTGTAATATGTTTCCTTCTTTTTTGCTACTCCCAGTCAAAGGTTTACTTTACCTACCCTGCTGAAGGGGCTACCGGTTACTCCTGAAACTTGAGTTACTGTCAGGCGTGTTAAGGTGCATTTTTAAGATCTAGAATTTTACGATCAGTTACGTGACCTATGCTGATAACTGAAGCCACGTGGCCGTATAGAGTCATCGGCATTTTAATAGCGTTGAATCAGGTGATTAATTCCACTTTTACTGTTACGGATAAGACCAAGCGATATGATTAGCACTATTATACGTGATGGAGTAATTGAAATAAAAGAATTCATAAAACTATTTCCTGAAATTATCTGATGAAAATGCTCGGGTTATCTACTTGTTTTATCTACGTTTTTTTTTTTTTTGAAATCTCACACGTTATCATAACCAGTAGCATAACGTTTACAGACTGGACTACACATCAAATTCAACCCCGCAAGGCGATTTATGGAAGTCACAAACGTATTTTGATGGATAATTGTATGAATGTCGAGGTTAGGAAAAGTCTAGTACCTCCAATCGATTAGTACGGCTTGCTGTTATATTAAACCATAAAGTCCAGTTAGAAAAGGCGATTGATACTGAACAACTTCTAATTCGGAACTTATGCACATGCTCAATGCGAGGCTGGTTTTATGAGGTCGTTTCAACATGCGCGATCGACAAACTATAACAAGTTTAGTCGATTCCGTGACTATCAATATTGCAACGAATACTAGCTTGGCTTTCTGAACACAAAACCTGTCAGAAGACGAAGCACAAGACAATAAATGGTTCCAATAATGACCAACAGGGTAGATCATAAGAACAGAAGAAAAAAAAAAGCACAGTGACTTACAGACTGATACCGATTATCACTAATGGTCTGGTCTATCAGTAGTAACGTCCTCTAATGGTCCCTGATCAGGTTGTCAAATTAGTGGTCTTCAGCTAGTGGATTGCACGAACAGGGGCTGCCAGATAATCAGGTGACAAACGACCATCAGCTTTTTAGAGTTTTGACTGACGTCTGTTAAAAGACCAACGCACTTTCTGGTGCAGAAAATATAATAGATAGATCGGAAAATAAATCGACGGGAGAATTAAAAAAAAACCAGTGCAGGGTTATGTGACTGAAGAAGATCAAAACAAGTGCAGGGTTATGTGACTGAAGAAGATCCAGGTGGTGGTGCATAATATGGCGGGAGAAGAGGATGGTGCATATAAATATAAAAGGAAATTGCAGGATAACCAAATTAATTCATGAAGAAAGAACAAAATACAAGAAGAGGTAAGAAAATGGAAGACGAAATGTAGCAAGAAATCATGGACATGAGTGGATTGAAACTTAAAGTATACTAAAAAATACAGCAGAAAAACAGTGCATTACATTATGAGAGAAGATCACTGTAAATAAGTAATAAGCAAGACAAGAGGGAATTCTCAACAGCCGCGGCACTTGAAATTCTTTTAGGCAGGATTAGAGTCAATTAATCTATGAGACTTTTCCTTCCTTTTTATTAGTTATATTTTTGTGCGCCAGCATATACCAAGCGTGGGGTGCGCGTATACACGATTCGATTTTATTACTCATCAGGATCTCTACCGGCCTACTCTCAAATTGAAATTATTTTTAGCAGGATTACGGTAAATTAATCTATGAGACTTTGAGCGTGGTCAAATGTATGAATCGAAAGAGTTTTACCTCATGGGTCCAAAACTGTAATTAGATCTCAAATTCGTCAAGACATGACGGAGCTATGAGCTAAAGGTTTGTACTTGAAAAAAACAAACAAACACAGAGCCGTTCTATAAACCGTTCAGCTGTGGCTAAAAAAATAGAAAGAAAAAAGAAAAAGTTTGAAACGAAATATATATGAAACCATTAGTTACGAGAAGGTGTAGAAAAAAAAAGAGCTGTTTTGGTTTCTCTAACAAAATTATTAAATCATCACATCCTTAGTTCGAGTGTCGGCATGACAACCACAGTTGATTTAAAGTCACGGTGGAATGGTATGTATCAGAACTATATTTTGACATTGGCGTTTCGTAGGGAATATGATGCCACCCAAAACTCGAAAGCCCCCCCCCCCCCGTTCAGCTGTCGTATAACTCATGTATCTGGTGAATGAAACAGACATTCATGATATTCTATACGATTAAATACAGGTCAAGTCGCTAGGCGCAGTACGTATGGATTTTTGTTCGATAAAATTGTTAAAACGGACACAGAGAAACTGTCGTGTTCGTTCACTAGGTGGATTATGAACAGTGCTCAGAGGAGTGGTGTGCTTTGGATATGACAGCCTCACGATGGAGCGCCTTGCAATAGAAACTGCAAGACTGTTGTCAAGATGCACGGTCGTCAAATAGAGCATGAAAGACGTGGTGACATGGGCTGTAATGATGTAGTGAGACTACAAAATCGTTACAATACATTGTATTTAACCCTCTGTATATATGAAGATCAATATATTTAATGACGAATTAGAAAGTAGATGGCTTTTGACTGAACTAAGTAGCAGTTTGCTAATCATCAGAGACAAAAAAAAGTTGTTTCTAAACCATTCCGAAGTAAAGACATATAACTGATTGTAACAATGAGTATCAAAACTCTAAAAGTTGTGTGGGAAATTGAATTTAAGCTTCCATTTTATTGCTTCCAGATGCAGCCAGAGGTGGCAAAAAATATATTTCATTCAACTCCGCCACAGGCGGAATAATACTAGCGTAGAATGATAGTTACACGGCTTCAGAAAAGAGCAAAATGAGCACACAAAAAACAACTCAGCATGCAGTCGAAGTTTATTGTGTGTGTAAACCGCGGGGTACAGGTAAAAGTTATCATAAAAATATATTAATAGGTCCTGAAAGCTTTTTTATATAATACTGTCACAGGCCATTAGCTAGAAAAGTAACCAGGATGAAAAACTTTTATTACAGACAAACCTATATGGATACGTTGTTTCCATGATCTAAGCGCTCTATACGCTTGGCGGTCTGTTAAGTTCCTATGTACTATTGTTGACGTTCATTTCTTATGTGATTTATAACAATAATGTAAGCGAATCAAAATAGACATTTAACTTATGGGAAACAAAAACAAACACGATTTCTTCCTCTATAATATTGTCGAGTTTTTTCTTTTTTCTTATCAATTATACATGTTACAGATTTCTTTTCAATTTCACCAAAGGTAAAATTGAAAGTAGGATCTGTGACGTAGAAGCCTAATGTTTTCTTTGATTGGCTGTGGCTCATCAGTACAGCTTGGGCTGGCAAGCCAAAGAAATACAGTTAGGCCTCTTATAATGGTGATTTGTATACAACATTAACGTGTTTTTAAGTCCTTTTCATATTATTTTAGGTTACTGATTGAAAAGGACAGTTAGTAGAGCTAATGGTGGGAGTGTAAATTATAAAGCAGTAATTCAGTGATCAGTTTATTTATTTGTAGAATTTTGCGAAAAGCCGTCCCTATTTCTGAGATTATGGAAGACAGATAGTTAACACTATCCACTGCCAACTTTTGGCCAACTACTCTTGTCAGATCGATTTGAGCACGATTATGTTTTGAAGGGGTGGGGTAGGGCCGTAACATGGCGTGAACCACAGAACCTCAGATCAACGGCCCGGCACGATAACCAATGGGCCACGCTCGACTCCACTGAGAATAGATATGTAACAAAATATGATTTAATAAACTACAGCAATAACGACCTTTGAATAAGATCTACATTTATAGTGACTGTTATTTACCTTTAAGTAACAACATATACCTTTATTGTAGCAATAGTGACTGTTATTTACCTTTGAATAACATCTACATTTATAGTGACTGTTATTTACCTTTAAGTAACAACATATACCTTTATTGTAGCAATAGTGACTGTTATTTACCTTTGAATAACATCTACATTTATAGTGACTGTTATTTACCTTTAAGTAACAACATGTACATCTATTGTAGTAACACTGACTGTTATTTACCTTTAAGTAACAACATATACCTTTATTGTAGCAATAGTGACTGTTATTTACCTTTAAGTAACAACATTTACATCTATTGTAGTAACACTGACTGTTATTTACCTTTCAGTAACATCTACATGTACTGCAACAATAGTGAAAGCATTGTTTTTCTTTGAATAACAATTATTGCATGTGTTTCAGCAGAAACCATGCAATGCCTGCTACGTGATCCGTACGTCATATTTCATTAACGGTACTCGCATGTATTGTAGCAGCAGTAATGAATGTTCATCTTTCCTAGCAATAATGATAGGCATTATTCCCGTACAATAAGTTACAATTCACCTATTCTATATTAGATTAGGTATGTGTTCTGATCTCAACACACTCACACTCTGGGGAGACTTGGAACATTATATATTTACATGGATATTAAAAGAGGCCATTAAATAATTCGGAGATCAACATTGATGTCTTGCATGTTGTAAAGCAAATCAATTTGAAAATTAAATGTGATTTTTCACAATATTTGGTTTTTAACTGTACTACATGCAAAACACCAATGTCGATCTCAGAATTATTTAATGGCCTATTTTAAGTTTACTACAAATAAAAAACCTGAAACTAATGTTACAACAATAATGCTTGGCATCCGTGAAGACTGGTATGAAACACAAATTAGCTCGGCATTAAACATTTATCACACGTAGGTGAATGAATAACGAAACGGTAAAATATAACACCAGTTTCTATCAGTGTTAAGTGAGAATATAATTATACACGACCTGGTTATTAGTGCTCTCGCCCTTTCAGCAGTGGGCGCGTTATAATGTGACGGTCAGTCCTGCTATTCGTTGTTAAAGAGCAACTCACGAGTTGGCGGCGGTTGGTGTTGACTAGCTGCCTTCCCCCTAGTTTATCACTTGAAAATTAGGGTCGCTTATACTGGTAGCACTCGAGTGGCTTTGTTCGAAATTCAACAAAACAAACAAACCAAAGATGCTTGGATATGAAGCGATTATACAACAGTTTTATTTTTAAATCTTCAAAATCTGCTAAATAAAAACAAAAATACGATTCGTACAAGTCCGTTTAGTGATGAACTGACGATAACCCTATTGCAATCAATAATAGCTGTAAAACCAGGTTATCTTATTAGTATAAAATCTACCGCAGATGAGATATTATATGGAGAA